AGCCGTTGTTGTATATTTTCCGACAGGTTTGAGGATTGTAATTGACGGATAGGCGCGTCAACCGGGGGTCGTAGACACTCTCCTGCACGGCGATGTCTATAGGAGACTGGCGGTCGCCTCCGGGAATCGACAGGGGGCTCCGCCAAATGGGGTGCGCTGTGGAAAGAACGCGAGGAAGCGTTGATGCAGCTTTCCATGAGAGAGAGAAAACCTCCAAGTGAAACTCTGAAAAAACTTGAAACTTACTTTTCGATGCATGTGCCGCCGCGTCCATCACTGAAAAAGTTCAAATGAAACATAAACCCTAAATTGCTATACGAAAAAAAGTATATTACAAACACTGTGGACCAGTTCCAGTATATCTGCTAGATCTCGTGAAAAGGAAAAAGGGGAAAAAAGTGCACTTCCTCGTGTGAGCAGAAAAAGGAAATTACATACGTGGAGGACTCGGTTCTAGTAGGCTATAGCTTCGGCACCGGGAGGTCAGCTGGACACTCCTCCATCGGGCAGGGAGACTGACAACGCGCTCAGGTAACTGTTTCTCACTTAGGTTCCCGAAACGTTATAATAATTACGTTAACATTAGACCTACCGGACCATAAAAACCAAATTCTAAAATAACTCGGTTATGCATAATGCATGCAGTGTGCTCCAGCTTACATGATTATTTAATAGCATGTACAAACCTTTAAACTTTTAACTTTACTTTAACTTACTGAGAGGTAAAGAACAACCGTGGCTAAGTATTCACGCGCACACAAATCTGATTTTAAATGCTTATATATACGTACACCTGAATAACATAAATATTTTACAGAAGTAAAGCATGCATGTTATGGACATTGAGCCCCTTTCGTGACTTAAAGCACTAACTTTTGTCTTTGTTTTCACACCTTAAACTTTACACCACAAAACGATCAAATCTTGCAACATTCCAAGTGTTAATCCTTAAAAATAACTCACAAAAATCAGCCAGATCAGAGAATCGGGTTCATAGAAATGTATCGAGTCAAACACCATTTAAGTATCTCAGGCTAGAATCATGAACTTTAATGTCAACCGAGATGCAGTCACTGCGCACACAGATTGTAATATACAGCCGGGCGTGAGCATCTCCAACTCCATCACTTACTCTGCGAAAGCGCATACACGCTGGAGCAGGCGGTGAGGCTGCACCTTCTGGAGAGGGTGACCCAGGACTGCGTATGGCCGTGCTTGGAGAGGTGTCTGAGAATGACCCGACCCACGCGTGTCACGGTTACACTGCAGGGGACCATAATGAGCCAGGCAATCAGCTTTTCACTGTATTTCCAGAAAGGTTTGTAAAAGAAATTAACGATTTGCAGTGGCTAACGGGAGACAGTGCTTTTCAAGTCGTTAAGTCTCTTGTGCAGGTAAATTCGCAAAGCTGCCCTGTCCCCGCTCTCCTCCGAGGGCACTGCACATTCAGGCTTTTCAATGTAGGCAAACACACTGGTATTAAAGCATAGCTCGGCTCCCCGCCTTTAACTCACTTTCCTTATCATTTACGCATTTGAACCAGGCAAAATCAAGCAAACAAGCATAAAATATGACAAACAAAACGTCACAGTCCGTTCTGCTCACGGATAGCTGAACCCCTACACAGCAACAACTGGTTCAGTTTACACATGATGGTTTTGTTAATTTTACACAGACTCAGCAGGTGCTCGGAAATACTTTTGATAATAGGCCTACATTACGTGAAGTCATTTAGACATACATTTACATTTGGATGTTCTCCAAAGTAACTCATAATTCAGAAGTTTGTAGCCTAAACAAGCAAACTGAAAAAAGCTGAAAATGAAAAACTGTGTAAACATCCATCCATTCATCTTCCAACCACAGTCAGGTTCAGCAGGGGTGTTTTAATGTCCTCCTATCCACCATTGCCATAAGAAAATAGGGTTGGCCTTTGACAACTCAAGCAGTCTAGGGGCCTCTGACCATAAAGTACCTCTGATGGTCAGCGTAACAGGGATGTAGAAAACCCTATGATTAATAGGTATTGCTCATTGATACATATGATCAGTATTGTTAATTATTGTATTCTATAGCTCAGTGATTTTATTTACTTATGACACGTCAAGTAAGACTTTGTGTTAAATGGTATTCATTCGTTTTACTTATGATGGAGAAGTGCCTTATATAAATATTAATAATAATATTAATATTCTGGAAAATAGCCTCATGGTACTTAAATATACATTAGAAATATAGGCTAAATCAAACAAGACCAGATCACCTCAAATATCTTACAAGCTGAAAATATATATAGGATGCCCCTTATCGTACACTATGTGACCAGTTGTTTTGTAAAACACATTTTGTCATTAAATGATGTGGAATCTTTTACCCTCTGTCATTAAGAGCTCAGGTCAAAGTTCATATGACAACATCTACATGTTTACAAACTGTTGAGGGTCTTTGAGTTTTTGGACTCTGATCTCACAGACGGGAGAGCCGGTGATGTGTCAAAATAGAAGATCTGTGCATCCAGCTTTTAATTCTTTGATCTGTGGCTGCATCAATCACAAGAGAAACTGACTGTAAAAGAAACATGAACACATGAAATTCCCATAGACGTTTGCACTTGTCTACTGTATTTGTACTGCAAAATAATAATAATAACAATAATAATAATAATCTATCAACTCTATGTCTTTTGTAATTAGTGATGGTTATGTGTTCTGTTGAACACATTTCTCAGTCGTCTCTGTTATGAGTACAACAGATAGCACATTAGATATTTAAGCTTTTAATGATGACAGACAATGACCTTGCTTGGTTGGTTTAGGTGGATGTTATAGTGGAGAGCTTATAGACAGGTATACTAACCCCATCCAATTGATTGCTGTCTTAACTTCAGGCCACCATTATACAGCATCAGTGGCAAGTGTCTGCAGTTGAAAGTCTGATCCCAGGTGACAGAGATCGTCAGAAAGAGGATCCTGAGCAGAGTTATGACGTTTGAAGCAGGAAAGGTATCAGTTTACTAACATTGGTACGAATATCACTACTATTAAAATTTAGTAGACCGTGTGGGTCCGCATATCGCAACTGAAAATTATGTTAGATCTGGAGTAGGATAACATTTGGTAGGTCCGAGTCTAACAGCCGATTATTCACAGTTGTATGCTACACTTGTGCCCGCAGTCCCGAGCGAGACACACGTCGCAGTTTAATTTAGGTCCTCCATAGCGTTAGGGGGCGCATTGTATTTGGCCACTATCTGTGTCCGTGTTCCGGCCCGCTCTTCGGCGCTTAGGCCGATCAGTTCCGGGCTGTTCCCGCAGCGGTCCGGTTCCCTGCGGTACGACGTGCGGACCGGCGGGGAGGTTTGCGAAAGAAGACGTTCGGCCCGAATCTCCGGCTCCGCATTCAACACCGAACGACTCTCCCCCGCCCGACCCGGCCGCACCGCCTGACACACCCCGCGGCGATTGACGCCACTGCAACCATTTTATTCATTTAATTCGCTCCTCCTTTATTTTCCTGGCACCGCAGCCATTGATCCCGGGTTCGACCGACTGGCACGGACCTAGACACGGATCTCTGGCTTTCGGACCAGTGGCTGCTTGCCCATCGGCGTGGGGCGTTCAGACCCGCGGTATTTAAGGTTTTACACCGCCCTCTTCTCCGCCCATTTGACTCTTTTGGAGCCCAGACGGTCTAAGCCCAGGCTCCATCCTTCTCCGTCCCCGCCGATCCTGGCGGCTTCGCTTTTTCTTCGGCTCCTGCTCACTTCGCTCGGCTCGGCGCGGCGCTCATCGGTCCTATTCCAGGATAAGTCCTTCGGCGGCGGCGGCGGCCGCTGCTACTCCGGCGGCGCAGGTCCCCGGATCCCAGTGGAAATCCGGTGCTCGGCGGTTCGCCCCCGGGCTTTACAGCCATCTGCGGCGGTCCAGCTGACCCTAGACCGGGCCCCTGTGCTCGCCATGCCCGGCACCGTGGCCAGTAGCAAGTCCCGGGTGTACGCCGACGTCAACACTGTAAAGAACCGGGAGTACTGGGACTACGAAGCTCATGTGCCGAGCTGGAGGTGAGGAAGTGCGGGGGAAGACATCGACTGGAGCTGGACGGTCAGACCCGGCTTCAAAATGCCCCGTGTCGTCAGACCGCCTATCGGTTGTAAGAAGGGCATCGTGGGTTTCGCACAGCAGCAGGACAGAGCCCAGTGTCCTGTTGCTGCATGTCCTACCTCTCTTACTGAGATATTACTGTATTGCAGCTCGTTAAAAAGGAGCACAAAAGTGAGGCTTTTACTAAATTAGACAATGATCATAGGCATTGAAGTAAGCTAGCTATGCTGAATTTGTGCAAGTTAATTATGAATGTAATTTTTCTTCCATAGCTGTGGAGTTAATGTGTCTTGAGGGTGTGTTGGCTCAGGTTTCACCCTGTCTTCCCTGACTCCCGAGTGGTTTGAAGGAATAGGAATGGAATTAAACCTCCCTCTCATTTTTTTTTTTTTTTTGTAGCAACCAGGACGACTACCAGCTGGTCCGTAAACTCGGAAGAGGGAAGTACAGTGAGGTCTTCGAGGCCATCAACATCAATAGCAATGAGAAAGTGGTGGTGAAAATCCTGAAGGTATGCTGACAGGTGACGCTGTTTCTCATTGGCTGTTCCGTCGCACGAGGGTGATTTGTGTGACCGTTTCCTCTGATGTGGTTCCTGTAGCCAGTTAAGAAGAAGAAGATTAAGAGGGAGATCAAGATCCTGGAGAATCTAAGAGGAGGAACCAACATCATCCGGCTGGTGGACACCGTGAAGGACCCCGTGGTATGTCCTGTAGCACCCCTGCCCGTCACCTTTCTTGTGGCTAGGTGAAGAGTCAAAAAGGTTGCCTAACCAATCAGAAGCCCTCGATTTCACCTGCAGGCTGGCTACATGTGTTCATGGCCTGGTTACCCCCATTTAGGTTGCAGGCAACTGGCTTACAACTGGAATCCACAGAAGCACCCCCACACCTGATGTATACTGTGGTAGCACTATGCCTTATTACACTCACAGAAAAAGGGTAAAAAATCGTGCTTTTGCTTGTCACTGGGGCTGTACCCTCAAGGGTCTGCCAATTGTACCCTTAGCTCTAGCTTATTGTACCTTTTCTATACCACTGATGGTACATTAATGCTGTTTGTTCCTTTGGGATGTTCCTCAGAGTCCACAAGCAAAGGTACACATATTTGCCCTTTTTTCTGATAATGTAACTGGCTGGGGCATCTTCTGATGACTGACCCAGAACAAACCTGAACCAATGGGTTTAACCCTGACAAAAGAACAGAGTTCAATCAGTCTGGTTCTGCTGGTATCTGTGACTTATTCAATGGCTTTGGCGGTAATATTGGGCTCTCAGTTTTCCTTTTATGAAGGGCTGGAGCTTGATGTGCCAGAATATTAATTGTCCAAGTGTTTGTGAGTGTGCTATTCTGTAGGGTGGCTATTAGTGGTGCATATGTTATTATATTTGTGTTTATATCAAAAGAAAAAAGTTTGTGCCTTTGACTGTCTTAATGATTAATCTAATTAATCTGTGTCCTGAGGATTGGTATTTAAAATAAATGTTTTCTTTGCTCTGATCCCTACACAGTCTCGCACCCCGGCACTTGTGTTTGAGTGCATAAATAACACAGATTTTAAGGTAAGTTTCATTTTGCTATTTGTTTCTCTGCTTTGACAGAAAGGCTGAAAACATCACTAGCCATAGAGCAAGATGAAGAGGCTTCCTGGTCTGTTAGGATCCGAGGGTGTGTGTTTGGTGTGGAGGTGGGAATTGAGTGTGTGTGATTGGTGTATAAACGGGATTGAGGGTGTGTTATTGGTACAGAGGTATGGTCCTAGGGCAGGGGATTGGTGCAGAGGTAGGATACAAGGGTGTGTGATTGGTGGCACTGATGATGTTCTGTGATCCCTCTGTTTAGGAGCTGTACCAGAAGTTGACAGACTATGATATTCGGTTTTACATGTGTGAGCTTCTCAAGGTGAATGCGATGGCTTCCTGCAGTTCTCTCTCCTGTGAGGGGTGCTCAGCTCTCAGTCCTGACTACTTTTTGTCTTTGAATTCTTTCCCTTTGTGTCAATGTAGTCATCAACCGATTGGTCTCACTTATCGTTGAATTGGGATTATCATGATCTTTTGATGTACAAACCGAAACGGCCGGACCAGTGCCAAAGGTCCATGTAGTTGTGTGTCGTGCACTAATTCGTGTTCCTCTCAGGCTCTGGACTACTGCCATAGCATGGGTATCATGCACCGAGATGTCAAGCCTCACAACGTAATGATCGACCACCAGTTGCGCAAGGTAGGGGGGCGCCGTTTGGCTGGCCGACTCAGTTCACCCCTCTGTTATGAAGTATTTCTGCAGTGACATACCACCACATACCACTAGGTGGCAGTGGCACATCACCCCACCCTTTTCATCATGTTGTCAAGATTTTACAGTAATAATTGTGCTGAGTGTTTCCCTGTTTCTGTGGAGCAGCTGCGTCTGATCGACTGGGGCCTCGCTGAGTTCTACCACCCAGCACAGGAGTACAACGTCAGGGTGGCGTCGCGTTACTTCAAGGGTCCAGAGCTTTTGGTGGACTATCAGGTGAGAGTGAGGGCATGACAGGGGTGGCGGCCTCTTGGCGGGGTCTGAATCTGTGCTCCGTGTCTGTTTCAGATGTATGACTACAGCCTGGACATGTGGAGTCTGGGCTGCATGCTGGCCAGCATGATTTTTCAGAAGGAGCCCTTCTTTCACGGGCAGGACAACTGCGACCAGGCAGGTCCCGCCTTTTTGAATGGCAGTGGTTAATCGGCTGCCCGTCCACCTGCCCGTTTGTTCACCCGCATGTCTGTGTTCTGCTCCAAGCTGGTCCGAATTGCCAAGGTCCTGGGCACAGATGAGCTCTTTGGATACCTGCACAAGTACCACATCGAGCTAGACCAGCGCTTCAAGGACTTGTTGGGCCAGTGAGTCCCTGGGGGGGCTCTGCTGAGCTTGGGGGAATGCCGGCAGTTTTGGTGGGGCACACCCGTTATTATTATTATTATTATTATTATTATTATTATTATTATTATTATTCTTATTCTGCTTTATGGATAACAGAGCAGCAGTAGGTCAGCCTCCTGCGTGGATTAATATTAGTCTTGCTGCAGGGGCTTATTGTAGGCTTGTACATATAAGGCAGTTGTAGGGAGGTTTGTGGGGGAAGGTTTGGAGGATTGACAAGGCCAGAAGCCAGCCAGACAAGGATGGAGTGGTTGGTGCTTTTGGGTGAACAGTGCTTCGGTGCGCCCCCTTCAGGCAGACACGGAAACGCTGGGAGCAGTTTGTACAGTCAGAGAACCAGCACCTGGTGAGCCCTGAAGCCCTGGACCTGCTGGACAAGTTGCTGCGATATGACCATCAGCAGCGGCTGACGGCCACCGAGGCCATGCAGCACCCCTACTTCTGTAAGCTCCGCCCCCTGTCTGCCAGCTCCTCCTGTCTTCCTCTCTCTTCAGATCACATCATGGCTTAAGGTGTAAAGTTTGTTTGTGTTTAGACCCTGTGGTAAAAGATCAGTCCCTGTGTGGCTCTGATGGATCTTCAGCGCCCAGTGGCTCCACGACGGCTCGATGAGAGCAGGTAACACACACATACACGCGTGCGCGCGCACAGTTTGTGTGTTCATGTTTTTCTGGCAGCTTCCCATTGCCTCACGTGTCAGCCTAGTTAATGGGCTGTAACGTCAAACCAGCGGAACCTATACTATGATCAACGGTATGCGAAGCAGGTAAGCCTGAGGAGGTTCTGGTCTGGTTTGGACGTCTCTGTAACGTGCTGCTGTCACGTTGCGTGTCCATTTACACACATGCAGGTTAAAATGATTGGACTAGAATAGGAAAGCTAGTGGAAGCTCTTAAACCTCCTTAACACCCATGTATGTGGTAGAGCCATGTAAATGATTCATGTGTGTGTCTGCCGGCTGTAATTTAATCACAGGGCTCCTAATCTCAGGTGCACGTGACTCTCTGTAGAGGCCTCTGCTGGCACCAAACTCCCCACTTTCTCTTCAGATGATTGATCATGACTATCAAGGATCAGTCTTTGATATCAGTGATAAAGACAGATGTCCCATAAAGAACCTTAATGTATCTTATCTTATTTCAGCATTTCTTTTCCAGGAAAACTGTTACCTCAACACCCCTTTGTGGCGGAATCCTCTTCAAGTATACAGAGACTGGAGCAGTACACTTTCAACTGTAACTATACACACAGACCCAAAAGGAGAGAGACAACCTCATTCTATGGTTGGCTTACCCCAGTCACATGCCTGGCTGCCAGACCAATGAGCTTGGAGATGTGCATTGCCAGCCCTGCCCCTTACTCCCAACCTACCCAAATTTAGGTCAAGAAGTGTTTGAATCCCGCGTCCTTGGTTTCCTGGACCTGCCTGTATAGACACGCATGGAGAATTGAGGATGTACTTGCTGGCTGTGGTGGACCTCTTTCTGCTATATCTGGAGTAATAATAGAAATAATGATATAAAGAAGAATAAATGATTTTTATTTAGATTTCTGTGTGAGCATTGGTGATTCTAATTATTTTGGGTTCACGCAGTTTACTGTTAATAAAATATTTTGTTTTTGTGTGTCTTGGGACAGCGCCAGTTTACAAGCAGGTGTGTGTGTGACATTTTACAGTTCTGGATCGCTCTGCTTAAGCTTTGTGTACATAAACTCGATGTCTTGCACGTGTGTTTTGTAGTCTGACAGACCTGGTAGGAAGCATTGCATGGTGGGGCTGAGCTGGATCTAACGGAACCTCCTCTGGGTTCATCTTAAGGGTATAATCCATATGAGCCTCTAATGTTCTGCTAGCAGAGTTGCTGTTTATTGTTCACTACGTATCTTGCGAGTTCTGGTAGGATGATCTTGGTGCCGATGGCTGTCCCCATTGCCAAGCTCTATCTGGGACCACCTAGTAAATGCATAGTGGTTCTTCTCTTTATACATAAATGGTGCAAAGGATAAATGTCTCTGCTGTTGTCTTACCTGATTGGCTGGTCCCACTGTCAGTCACCATGCTCTCTCTATGTGTGTGTGTGTATGGTTCACTGATCAGAGTGAGTTTCAGTCAGTAACACCTACATCTTTATTGCAACATTCAACACACTCAAAATATATGCTGAAAGCAAAAGGGAATCTGGTAACAGCATCTACTGCACTCCTCCCAGTGAAATGGGCTGCCAGACCGTTTCTCCACTAGCAGAACTAAACATTTACCTGTTAGTACAATAGAATGTGATTTGAAAACGTATCCAACTGTCATCTTATACACTTTTCCATCAGGTTGGCATGGTCATGGAAATGCATCCAGTTATGAGGTTTCGAGGTTGAGTCCTCTAAACCTCTTTCATGTGACTCATGGCAGCAGTGGGTGTGTCTGGGGGTTTGATCACTGGGTGACCTACAGATGAGCTGGGTGCTCCCAGTCACCTTCCAAAGTGCAGTCGATTCTGTTACCATAGAGACAGTCCTGGGGATCGTAGAGAAGCATTTGCCACCATTGTCAGCCAATTGTGTTCATCCTGGAGCGTCAGTGCTTTGTTGCCCCAGGAACCGGTGAGTCAGAGTTGGGCAGGAAGGTGTCCTCATCCCTGAAACGTATTTACATATATTGACGTATGTGGATGCTAGTGCGCTAACCTGATGTGGAACAGGGACTAATATACAGGCTACAAAAGACGTGCCCCTATCCTACAGGTCTGCATGTCTCTGTCGCTCTAAATTTGTTCAGCTAAAGAAAATCGTCAAGTCGGTCGATTCTCTTTATAGCGACAAGCTAAAATAACACACAGGAACAAGGTCTGACCTCAGACTTAAAGTGGCATTTGAACACTAAATGGACAACTGTATTTGAAGATGCCAGTTCTGTGTCACAGCTGCATCAGCAAGCCAGTGTGGAATCTGCACCTTTACTGGTAGGAAAAACATCCGTAAAGTAATGTGGGAATATGTCTCACCTGGCTGTAAGTGCAGATCCGGATTCCTGGGGGGGAACTTGCCGCATTGCACGTAGCAGCTGGCAAATCTGCTTTAAAGTCATCTTGGGGGTGTGGGTGACCAAGCGTGGGCGGCCCCCACTCCGGTTGCCACATGAGCCAAAGGGGGAGGAAGCCTCCCCTCCAGGTCGACCCATAAGGTGCATGGGCCGGGGGGCACGTCTATCGTAGCAGGAAGCAGACTGTTGGGGAAGAGTGAGAGAAGGAGACGAGATACACATATCAGAAAACCAACCTGTTACACGTGTCTGACAGAAACCTCGAGAGCACTGACACTCGAACCCCTGTCTGACAGCAACCTTGATGGTACTGACACTCGAATCCGTGTTTGACAGTGACCTGGCTGGCACTGATACTCAAACCCATGTCTGACAGCTACCTGACTAACCTCTGAAGTGACATATGGCATTCCTGTCCTTCTGGTCGGTGTCTGCTCTAGTTGCCGGGAAAAACAGCGTCTGTTTTTGCTGAGCAAATCACATGACCACAAGAAGTCTGTGTGATGATGATCAAATGAATGTAGCATGAAGGCTACATCACAGAGCTAAAATACACCTTGGAAATCATGCATCAGTGTTGGGCATTTCAGTTCCAGAAGCTACAAATCCAGACCAAAATTTTGTTTTTCCCAACCAGTTGAGTACTCTGTGACTGTGGCTCTTCATACTCAGCTGGTTGGTAGAAACAAAACCTTGGTCTGGATTTGTAGCTTCTGGACCTGAAATGCCCAACACTGCCATGGATTCATTCTACCATCTTCTATAACTGCTTATCCAATACAGTGTCATGGTGAGCTTGAAGCCCAAATATGTGAGCCTATCACAAGGTACAAACTCACACAAATGTTCACACAAAGCAATTAGCCTGCTCCAGTGTCCTTCGATTGCTGTAGGAAACCCACACACACTGCAAGAGACCACTTGCAGAGTGGGGGGTTCAGGAATCGAACTCAAGTCACCATATCTCCCCCCACTTAGAGATAAAATTCACCATTCCCAGCAATAGGAGCCAAACTATTATACAAATCATGCACTCTGTCTCAAGAAGTCGCCTGGGTACATGCCTGAATCAGCACACACACAAAACACCTCACTACTCTACAAGGTTTTCCAACTCACGGGCACAACGGAGGCCATGGTAACCTGCTTTCCCTTATGTGTCCAGGTGCTTGGGTCCAAGTCTGCATCTGAATGAGGGAACCTACGCTGACTGAGGTTGGGAGGAGTGAGACACTAGCCAATCAGAGCCAAGATGATTGTGACCATCACAGGGTGGGCTGACCGGTCGTCTCTACCCCTTCCAGGGTTGCCAGGGACCTCTGTGGCTGTCGGTTCAGCACAGAAACTAGGAATTAATTATTCATAGGGCTTCTGTCCCTTCAAGAACATTTGGAGACAACAGAAGGATGGAAGAAGGAACTGTCAGGGAGGTGCATTGTGGGTCATCACTCCACACTCTGACAATGTTCTTGCTAAGTAATGTGTAATGGGTGATAAGTAATATGCAGAATGCTGTTTGGTATCTGACTATGGGTGCATGGCCCTGGGACATGCATCTGCTTTAGCTATTGGTTTGCCCCTAAGGGTGAAATTACAGAAGCTCCGGTAACACACATGACCACAAAATAGTGCAGCAGATCCTGTAGGAAGTCATTAACTGTACACCTGAACTCCAAACAGATCCAAAGAGATTTAGGAACTTCAACCATCTCTCTTTTTGATAATTTCCATGAAAACTCACCTGTTCTTACTGAACTCATAATCAGGGTTGGAGGAGAGGTTGCACAGCAGGGGGGGCAGCAAGTGGGGTGGGGCCCCCATCTGTGCTGTTGATAAAATTTGCCGATGGGGGGGAGGGGGTACTGCGCCAGAGGATCGATTGGCCAAATTTTAATCATTCCCTCTTTTGTTGGTCTTGTATCTTTGTACCATTTTCTTCTTGTTACTTTGTGCCACTTTGCAGTGAACAGCCAGTGGACTCCAGTGGTAACAGAAAGCTGGGCAGTGCAAAGGCAACTTTGTCAACCCTGAAAACTGTTGCTAAAAATGCAAATAACAAACATGTTACTATCTTTTAAATGATCATATTATGTTATATCCTTAAGTGTAACTTCTGGAAAATTTGTCTTCATAGGGCCCTTGGTATTTGGGGCCCCCCGCTGGCTCCCTACCCTTGCCTTATGGTAAGTCTGCCCCTATACTAACTTTTAGTGTGTGGTTGATACATACTTTTGCTGCTGCTTTATTTTAAAGGTAGACTGTTAGTCTGTATTTGACTTTGGATTTGAGTCAATTAAATCAATTAATGCCAATATAAACCAGGATATCATAAATAGAGTCACATGATTCAGAAGCTGGAAGCTGAATTCGGTTCAGTTTTGGCCTGAAACTCAGTCCTAACAGCCTGTAACGTGATATGTACAGTATTTCCTAGCAGCACTGACACTGGTTTTTGACTACAATGAATTTTTAGCTCACTACTACCATCTAGAGGCAGCTATAAAAAGGGCTGATCTAAGTGCAAACCCATGGAAAGTGCAGCTGGTCCTTAAAGTAAATATGTGAAGTCCTAACCAAGGGATCCCAATACTTATGTGTTTTATGTACTTTAAGGTGAGTACTGGTAGAGGCACTGCTATGCTCTGTCTCAATTTCCCCACAGGGATCAATAAAGTATCAATTATTATTATTATTATTATTATTATTACTTAATTATGACCATGACAGTCTGTAGGCTGCTGGTGATTTTTGTGACCTGGTGCACCATCCCAGTGAAGGAGAGAACCTGATGGTTCCTCACGTCAGGTGACATATGGGCACGTTCAGTCAGGCATGCAAACACACTGATCTACTCAGTAATACACACACATACAGATATGTACCCAAGCCAGTGCTCTTGGGGGAACAACTGGGGAGGCTGTCTCAAGCCTGGGCTCAGCTGGGAGTGGTTACACATTTTGTCTCCCCCTGAAACTGCTAGGGCACATGTGTCAAACTCAAGGCCCGCGGGGCACATCCGGTCCGGCGTACAATTATACCCGGCCCGCAAAATCATTTTATATATCTTTTTTTTAATGGCCCGGCGATATGAAGCGCCGATAACACACAAACTACAAATCCCATAATGCAGCGCAACAGCTGCCTTACCGAACGATAGGCTAACACTTTTACGTTAATTACGTCAGATCGATCTAGCGTCTGTTGATGTATACAACTGTAATTTCAAGTCAAAGCTAGCCCCTAACAATGGCTAAAAGAAAAGCTGATTCTGAAAACAAAGCCTTTCAAAACCGGTGGGAAGCTGAGTATATGTTTACTGACATTGCCGGTAAACCCGCGTGTCTTGTTTGGGAAGCTAATGTGGCTGAGGGAGAATCTCCACAACACAGAACCTTATACCCCAAACAAAAACGAACTTGTTGCCAGGAAAAGATCCAGTTCTGACAGAATGGCATAAGAGCAAAGAAAATGGAATGTTTTGATTTGTTATTATTTTAACTTTCACTTAAAAGCACAATTTTTATTTATACTTTCAGGTTTTTTTGCTGCATATTTATATTTTGAATTTGTATAATTTTGACAGGAGATGTTTTTATGGAGAGCAAAATATTTTAAAGTTATTTTAAGTTTAAGTTTATTTATTTTGGAATAATATTGCATCCTGTCTGTTTCAATTCATATTTTTGTGCAAAAAACGTTAATTTTAGTTTGTTCATAAATGTTTATCCTGTTCGGCCAGCGACCTAAAGTATGCTTTGAGTTTTGGCCCCCTGTGCGATTCAGTTTGACACTCCTGTGCTAGGGTATCTGATGCCCCTGACTACCTCATGACCATGCACTTTCTGTAGAATGACCCGTCCCCCCATGGGGACTCGGGGAAGTGCAAGCCACTGAGCTCGTTCTGTTAGTGCCCCTCCCACCCTGAGATTTTTCAGGATTTTTTGTGTACCCACCACACATCTCCTACCCCTTCTTCAGCTCCTGCCACTTGAGTTCCACCCTCCACCTGGTACTGCTCGAGTGGTTGGGTTTACCTGTGTTTTTATGGGACTTTGTGGCTACATACAGTATCTGGAATAAAGGTTTGACGTTGCCATGGAGAGAACCACGGTTAGTGTGCCTCACTGTTGCCATGGAGTTGTTGTTTTGTGTTTTCTCACTTGAAATGTGTTGTCATTTTTCTTCACAATCAAAAATCATTCATCACTTCCATGTGGTAAGATCCACTCAAACTCCCCAACTGGGGGGGCACTTTGGTTTGTCATGTAAATGCTGGAATTTAAGCTCTTTTTTATTTCAATGGATTGGCAAATTTCTCAGTCAATGTGTTTGTGTAACTCTTATATATATATATATATATATATATAATCTGCGTACATGTTCTGTGATGGGGGTCATCAGTGTTACCATGGTCTGACCTGGGGTCAGATCGCTGATCCTCAGTTGCTTTTGACAGGGTTAATATCAGGGCTATTGATATCCGATCTACTGCTGATGGACAGTGTGCTCTAGCAAAGCGTCATATTTGCATATTTCATCACTTAAGATGTACCAAAGTGTGCTGCTACATTGAGGTATTGAGGTATATTTATGGACATCTTGGACCAGGAAAGCAGTGAGGAAGGTCACCTGCACTGCTGTACCTCTTAAAACAATGCAGCTGCTGGCAGCAGGATTTTGCGCTTGTCTGGTTGCTCACCTGCCGTTCTGTTGATTAAAGCTGACTTTCTTTCACGGATGCAGTTATGATACATTGACGTTCTCTCACTCTACTCCATCAATAATATGAACATTAATATTTCACTTCCAGGGTAATTCATTTCTCAGCATATATTTGAATTACAATGACCTGTAAACATCAGCATAAGAGACAAACATCCCAAATCACAGGAACAAACATCTTATCTGTAAACGTTTCAAAGACGGGTCAACACACTGTTCAGCGTTGAGCTCTGGCCGCAGACCTCTCCAGCTTGTCCACGACGTGCCTGGATGACCACACACATCCCAGGCCTACTCCTCTGGAGGCACTCCTGGGGGTGGTGCACAGCACACGCCACAGCCTGTGGGCACTCTCTGTCAGAGTGACCGCAGGATAAGGGGAGAGGGAGGGAGCGCCCGGCGACTGCACGGGTACCAGGGCACCCGCAGGAGTCCTTGGGGGTTTCACTGATGAAGTGACGTTGGGTGTATCAGGTTTTAAGGAGAGATGTCCATGAAGGGAGTAGGAACAGTCTGAAGAATGAAAGGGAACAGATCAATGTGTGAGTTTCCATAAAGAGAAATATCACGTCTATGATCCAAGGTGTGTCCTGTGCTGATCCATTCCCTCACCACAGCCCTGTTCCAACACTACTTACACTTGCACCTGGGCATTCATTAGAAGACAGTCTAGCTACCCTTACTGTTCCAGTCAAAAGTTTGGATACACCAACCCATTGAAAGGTTTTTTTGGTCTATTCTCTACATTTTAGAATAATTATAAAGACATCAAAAATATAAAACCTGATGATCCCACCATTGGGCCCTTGAGAAAGGCCCTTAATCCCAATTGCTGGCTGACTCTACTGCCTCCTTTACTCGAGTTTCATGAGGTGGCCTCCTGGGATGCTTTTCCAGCTGTCCTGAAGGAGGTCCCACATATATGCTGAGCACTCATTGGGCTGCTGTTCCTTCATTGTCTGGTCAAACTCCCCCAAAATCATTTCTACTAGCTTTAAGTCATATGGCCAGGTCATGTGATGCAACACTCTATCACAGCTTGGCGCGTCCAAACTTTTGACTGGTACCGTACGCCTAGTCAGCTCCTTGACAGCATGTATGTTTGCAATGTTTTATTTATTTCACTTATATGGTGCTTTGGACAAAAGCTTGTGTGTCAAATGCAAATGCAGATGTAAGATGGGTGGATGATCTGTGTCCCTCTGACTGTGTGTACACACATACACATATATAACATCTTCAGGGGAGATGGTGAGCAGACATCTGAGCTTCTTTGGATTTCATTTGGCCCCCCTTGTGGTATTAACAGGTAGGCAAACCTAACAGCACGTTCTGGGCATTAACTTAAATGGGACTACTGCTGCAGAATGGCATCCCACAAAGCAGGATTTCCCAGTTAGCTGGATGGCTTAAGCCAAACGTGATAACTGTCCAATAGGAAGAGAGGTAAGTGACATCCCTATTGGACAATCCATATGTTTGGCTTAAGTTATCTGGCTAAGAAATCCTGCTTTGTGGAATACCTCCCCCTGGTCTCTCTCTCTCTCTCTCTCTCTCAGACACACACACACAATTAACTTTATACAGCTATTTATTGGTTTATTGATAAAAAAAATATTTCTCTGAAAGTCATACCCTGCCACATACAGCGCTCGCAGAAAGTCTTGGGATGCTTGCTTAATTCAGAAAACTACTGCAAATTTATTGATTTATTACAAAAAATCATGACTTTATTTGTTTACAAACAGCATATATCACAATAGAAACAACCAGTAGTTTTAAGTAAAACATTAATTTCAAGTAGGTAATAAACTGAAACCCAAATTATAGTTCTTAAACAGCTGTTCTGAGTTACAAAGTTCATCAACAAGCAGTCGCATTGGGTGCTTTTTAATTAGTATCACCTTTGCAATAACATAAAACACCAAACATTTGTGTTTAGTATCCCTTTGGGAGCCAGTGACAACAATTGCAAGATGGCAGGAAGTGAACTGAATGAGTCAGTCAAAAATATTACTTAAAAATGTCTGTGCAGAAGCTATGCGCAGATATATTAAACATTGCTTGTCAATGGACTTTTGTTATAAAACCGAAAAAACTGCAACATTTTTAAAGAATTAAGCAAGTCTTCCAACCTTCTGTGAGCACTCTATAAATACACTGCCTGGCCAAAAAAAAAGTCGCCATTTGAATTTTTTGTTGGGCCGCCTTTAGCTTTGATTATGCCGCATATTTGTCATGGCATTGTTTCCACAAGCTTATACAACATCTCATCCTTTATTTTCATCCAGATTTGCATTAATTTCTCGCCAAGATCCTGTATTGACAAGTGAGTTGAACCACTCCATAAAGCCTCCTTTATCACATCCCAAAGACCTTCACTGAGGTTAAGATCACAACTCTGTGGTGACCAAGTCACGCGTGAAAATGATTCCTCATGCTCCCTGAACCACTCTTTGACAAGTTGAACCCATTGAATCTTGGCATTCTTGTCCTGGAATATGCCCATGCCAACAGGGAAGAAAAAATCCATTTATGATGGATGGAGGTGTAACCTGGCCATTCAGTAGATTCAGGTACTCAGCTGACTTTACTTTATTGCTGCATAACGTTGCAGGACTGTGATAATGATCTAGTCATTGGCTTTTAAGTATTTGCTGATATAAATACAAATGGTGACCTTTTTTTGGCCAGGCAGTGTATGTACCAGTGCTGTGGACAAGTCACCCTGCTTTTTGAATCTAAGTCAAATATGGAGACACCAGTTTTCAGAAATAGATCACAAATATCCATGTTCATAAGCACTAATCCAGTACAGAGTTGTGACATCAGCAGAAGCTTTCCCAGGAAACCACTCATCCTGGCATGTCCATCAAGGGGGAACCACCCACTAATTGCATGTTGCTGGTTTTGAGGGAAAGCAAGAAAACTCCACACACAGGACACATGTGAGGCTCAAAGCCCCAACCCCCCAGGTGTACGGCAATGGTATTACCCACTGAGTCACCATGCTGTGCTATAGCTACACTACTCCATTTAAAAGATCATGTTTATTATGTATGAATAGTAACAAAAGGTTGGACACACCAACCAATAGAAAGGTTTATTTGTACTATTCTTTACATTTTAGAATAACTATAAAGTCATCAACACTATAAAATAACATATATGGAATTAGAAAAAAAGAAGTATTAAACAAAAAGGAATAACTTGCTGGTGGTGGGGGCAGTCCTGTGTGTTGGGACTCAGAAGGTTGCTGGTTCAAATCCCGTGGCTGCCAGAGTGATCCCACCAGTGGGCCCTTGAGTAAGGCCCTTAACCCCAATCACTCCAGGGACTGGCTGACCCTACTGTCTCCTCTACACGAGCTTCATGAGGTGGCCTCCTGGGATGCTGTTCCAGCTGTCCTGAAGGAGGACCCAGATATGCTGAGTACTCATTGGCTGCTTTTCTTTCACTCTCTGATCAAACTCCTCCAAAACCATCTCTACTGTGTTTAGGCCAGATGGCCAAGTCATGTGATGCAACACTATCACTCTCCTTTGTAGGCAACATAGTTTGTCCAAACTTTTGACTGGCACTGTATGCGTGTGTGTGCACACATGTGAGTACATGTCTACGAGTGTATCACAGCAGTGTTTGCGCGTTTGGGTCTTACCAGCACCAGTCCAGGTGGCTCAGTCTGCCGGGTGCTCAGGACAGGAGCGGCTGATCTCAAACCAGGAGTCGATGCAGCTGCAGAGAGATATTAGACTCAGACTTAACTGCTGCAGGCACTGCCAGCCATGGTACCTCGTTCCTTTACTAGGTTTAAATGTCAAAAACAAGACACTAAGTGCTGCATTATCCTAAAGAAGCTCAGGGCCACTTTTAACCCAAGTCACAGTTTCCCAACCATCCAGGGCATTTTTTCAGAATTTACTTTGTATTATATAATGATTTAAGTTTCACTTGGTCGGAGAATTTTCAGTAACATAGGAACCTAAGAATATAAGAAATTTACAAACGAGAGGAGGCCATTTGGCCCATCAAGCTCGTTTGGGGAGAACTCAACTAATAGCTCAGTAACACTTAGTACTAACTTAGTTACAAGTTGAAGTACAAATCATGAACAAATATTGTAGCTACTTCAGATAAAAGATACATTTTTCATTAATGATGAGCTAATGTGAGATTAGTATTTTTCTTATATTATTCATTACTTGTTCCTTCAATTGTTCCTTAGTAATTCTTTCAGTAGTTCACAAAGATTTACAGAATTAACAAATTTAGTAACAAATATAGTAACTGCTTGGAATAAAAGATGCATCACTATTAATTAATAATGAACAAACATGAGATCAGTATTTCACGTGTTATTAATTATTTGTTCCTTCAGTACGTCCTTTGGTAGTTCACAGAGGTTTACAGAATTAACAGATATAGTACCAAATATAGTAACTGCGTGAGATAAAAGGTGTCTCAATTCATTAATTATTAAACAAATATGAGATCAGCATGTAACTAAGACTTAGTTTGTGGTTAATTAACGCATAAAAAATAGCATAATACAACATCATTTGCGCCCAATTTTCTTTGTGGTTTGAGTACTTTGGTGTTCTAGTCATGAACAGTAATGCAGTCATACTGAAGTAGCTGCAGGTTGCGCTGATTTATGACAGATCGTATCCTGATTGGACACATGCTGCTCCCTCCAGCTCAGGTGGGGTGTCTCTCCTACCTTTTGTGGTAAATACAGAGGCACGGCAGTCTAGCAATGGAGTCTCCCTGCTGTAGCTCTTCCAGACAGATGACACACTCTCCCGAGTCCTTCACCAACACGTCATCTACGCAACACCAAGCACAGCAGTTCGTGAGAAGAAGCTGAACTCCAGCATCACAACCTCCATAGTCTAGCAGAACCATCTGTGGATGTTTAGTGATCAGCTAGTTCATTTGCATAATTTCGTATAGGTAAGTTTAGCCCAATAAGTAACTCATTCCCACAGCAATTCTTTGAGTGGTAGGGAGAAGGGGGCGGGGTTTTGGCACACCGTTATAGGAGAGGCGGGGCTTGCTCAGGCACATGATGAAGTGTACTTCCATCTCAGTAGACGCCACGGACTTGGAGCAGATTGGACACTTAAAACCTGCAGAGCAGAAGCAGGGAGTCACGTCACCAGTGCAAGAAGAGCATCCACTGCACCGCTGTACCCAGTGAGGACAGATTTCAGCTGTGGATGTGTGGAGTGAGACATGTTGGAGTGTGTATAGGTTCTGGTCATTTGTCTTTTAGCGATAGCTGAAACTCGAGTGTGGCGGATAGCCCGGTCAGCCACGCATGTCAGAGTGTGACTGTGCATGACAGTTTTTATAAGCAAAATGTGTTTCATTGGGACTTCACAAATAAATGAATATTTGAATGTCACCATTTGCATTTAAATCAGCAAGTATTTAAGAGTTAATGACTGGTTCATTATTACAGCTCAGCAACGTTATGCAGCAATAAAGTGAAGCCAACTGAGTACCTGAATCTCCTGAATGACCAGGTTATCCCATCAATGTATTTTTTCTTTCCTGATGGCCTGGGCATATTCCAGGACGATAATGCCAAGATTCATCGGGCTCCAATTTTCAAATTGTGGTTCGGGGAGCACAAGGACTCAATTTCACACCTCAACTGGCCACCACAGAGTGTTGACCTTAACCCCATTGAAAGACTTTACAGAATGGTTCAACTCACCTATCATCAATACAAGATCTTGACGAGAAATGAATGCAAATCTGGATGAAAAAAGATGTTGAGATGTTGCACAAGTACATGGAAACAATGCCGGCGGTCTAACAAAATATTAAAGCATGCAACTTTTTTTTTTTTGGCCAAGCAGTATATATATAAATTTCAGTCCATTTTGGAAAATGAATGGTCTGAGGGCATCTGACAAATAGAAAGGACACATGGGTAGAGAGGTTCAGGTCAGAAGGTGACAGAGAAGGTGACTTTCCTGAAGCTAAGGGAACTCTGTCCAAAATAAAACCTAAAGTCTAATCGAGGCAACCGGATGAGTAACTGAACTGGTCTCCACACCAGAGCTCAGGTAACGAGCGACACCGCCTGTGATTATCTTCACTGTGATGGACACCAAGGTGTCATTGTGTAGGACTGTGCAGTGCTGAAGATCCTGGAATCCACCACTAATGTGGTCAGAGCAGAGCGTCCCAGAAGCGTTTCTCATCTACCTGTCACCATTGACCTGAATCGGGTGGGGGGGGCGGGCTGTCCTTTCAAATCTGGTGCGGGTGGTCTGTGAACTCCTACAAACATGGATTAGATTCCAGGGTGCATCACACATCCCTGAGCATGTGTGATGTGACTCAGTAGAGGAGGAATCAACACAAGAATATACAACAGGATTAAATGGAAAATAATACAGAGAATATCATAAAAATGATGGTGCCGGATACACAGCGGTTTGAGCAGAAGAACACGGACACATACAGAAGTGAGTGTGGGAGAGAGGAGGATGGGCGTGGGGAGGCACAGGTACAGAGCACGCTCAGAGGTTGCGTCCCACCCCTGGAGTGTGACCCAGTTTCCTATGCTCTGTTTTCAGTGTCTCCCACTGGGAGAGACAGACAGAGGGAGTGAGAGAGGAGAGGTATGCAGAATAATGAAGGGAGAGGCAAGGAGTGGAGAATCATCTCACCGCCGTGAAGATTCATGACTGCACCTGATGGCCATTCGTATCTGCAGTGCACACTGTCCCTCGAAACAACCCAAGCATCACCTACTCACTCCAAGTTTCTTCTACATTACCTAGGACACTCAGAATTATAAGGATAAGTTTAGCAGCTAATTTCATTATTAGTTTGTGTGGCTGGCTGGACAAGATGTTCTGCAGAAAATTAAAATCCTAGACCTCATAAATATATGTATGCCAATCTGTAAATCTCGGTAAATGTCTCAGTTACGTTTCAATCTGCTTGAGTACATCGCCAATCCTGAAGTGATGAATGCAGCATGTCAGACTTACCCATGTTAAGATACTCGTGGCTGAGTAGGATCCAGTCAATGGCTATCCTATACCAGCTAATCTACTAACTACAGTAAACAATAAACATTAGCGCCATCTAGTGTATGGTGGTAATGTGTCAGACATACGGCACCGAAGTATTAAGTAATGTGAGTTCGTGGATGTCAGGGTTCGACAGCGTGGGTCAGCCAGTGTTAGTGTGTGTACTTGTGACTGTCTGTCAAAGAGAGTGTGGGTGTGTGATAGAATATGTGCGTCTCTGTGTAAAATGCACTTGCTGTGTGATATAATTACATTTCTACTTTTTGCCCTGCTTTGCCATACACCACTAAACTAGGTCACCTCAGGCAATCATCTAACCTGCTTCCTAGCAGAGGAACACGCCTGCATCCCCAGTGACCCGCATCACCTGTGCTGCATTCTCCGTTAGCTTTCCTTCTCTCACACAAGGTATATGTGCACATACAAATACTCTGTTTTTATGCCATGCATGTACCCTGAAGCCTCCCCCCCCCCATCTTTACCAGCAGGTGGTTACCAACCTGCACTTTTAACCAAACGCTGCTGTTGTACCTCTAAGGTTAAGTCGAGCGATTCACCTTACCTACTTTTAGCATACATGCATGTACACAATTACGCTCTTGGAATAAGTAACGCATAAATAATAATATAAAGAGCGTCCTTTACACAACGAATATTAAACAAAGATGATGATGATGATGATGGCACTGATGAAGATGAAGATCACCTTCACTGGGACACCCCTATTTTACAAAGAGCCTCCCATACGCCGTGAATAGCGGCCGTAATCCCGGCTATGACTCCCACTCACCGTTATGGGCGCTCAGCCACCGGGGCGCCCGGTGCAGAGGCAGGGGGGCGGACAGCGTCCCCCGGGCTCCCAAGCACAGCATGCTTCCCGTGCGACGTCCACCGCCCGAACCCCGATAGCCGTTACTGTGAGTCCCCGGTCCCCCATCCACATCCCCGGCTCCACCAAAAGGTACGGTCCCGCCGTGATCGGCACCGATCCCGGCCACGGAGCTCGCCGAGCGACTGCGCTGTCCCATGGAGCTGCCCGGTCGATGGTGCCCGAAGCGGGCCGTGGGCGGCACCACGTTATCGTCCGTGGAGACAGCGGGAAACGCGCCCCGGGGTCGCCCTGTAGTGCTCTGCTTGCCTCCCATCCAAAGCAGACGGGGTGTGGGCTGCTGAAAGCGGAGGACTCAGCTCCCGGTCCGTGTCAGCCGGACACAAGTGGCTGTAAACGAGCTGTCAAGTCCGACCGAACCAGCTGTGTCTAAAAGACGTAAGAAAGAATTTCCACGAGCGAGTCATGAGCAAAGAAAACCGCGGGGAGAGCAGAATCCCCTCTTCCAGATGGGGTACACGGAACGATTCTTGCTGCGACTTGCGTATAATGCTACGTTTTCCTTTAAAAAAAAGGAGAGAAAAGGAAAAAAGGAGGTCCGCCCCGCCAGCTCACCGCTGCAGTGACAAGCGCCTACAGCCCATTTAGACAGATACGGAGAGAGATGCTGTGATCTGGGCAGAGGTAGACAGACGTGGTCCAGCGCTGCACATCAGCGGAGCATCATTCGCCCGCTAACGCCTCATCTGTTCCCGTGTGGCGTACCTTCCTCCGTGGGAATAACGCGGTACCATGCACCGAACGGTGACACACGACGTTAACGACATTACAGGAGGAGCAGGCTGCCTACCACGTGGAGATGATAGATCATAAGTTTTAGGGGAAAAATGTATTAAACGGCACGTTTTGTAAAAAGACAATCCAGAGTCAACACTTAATCATAGCTATTATTCTTATGATGTTGTGATTCGTCTTCCAGTCACTTATCCAGTGCAGGGTTAAGGCGATGGAGCCTCAGGAAGCGCAGGGCAGAGAGGCAGGGGACACCTTGGAGGCGTGCCAACCCATATGCACACACACGCACTGTACAACAGGTGGAGAACATACAAACCAATTAAACTCCACAAACACAATAGGGGTGGGACTCAAACGGGCAGCCCTGGAGGTGTTAGGTGAGCCACCGTGGTGTCCTAATTAAAAGCTGTCATAATAAATTCAATTTTTAATACCTAAAATCTGATACATAAAATGATGAAACATCGTCCGTTTTAATGCAAAAGCTTCAAATACGTCAAAGCTAAATGCTGACGGACACCTATAACCCTGACCCAATGCTTTGTGCTTGTTGCCATGTAGGAACGTCGCTAGAGATTTATGAATGGGGGGGGGGGTAAGCATTTACTGGAGGGGGGGGGGTGTCTAGATTTTCATGCAAATGAATGAGCCCCCCTAAAACAACTCTAGCGACCCCCCTGACATCACCGATCTAACCGCTTATCTTATTTAGGTTATGTGGATGGGGTCAGGAGCCTATCCCACATGGCACAAGGCTGGGGTACACCCAGGACGGCATGCAAGTCCATCACAGGGCACACATACCCATACATACAATCATACTCTGTGGGCAGTTGATAGTCACTGATTCCTCCTTGCAGGAGGAAGCCAGAGTAAACAGAGGAAACCTGCATGACACAGGGAGGACTTGCAAACTCAACACACACACACACACACACACACACATACACGGTGGGGGTGGGATTAGAACCTACACCCTTGTGGTGTGAAGCAACAGGGCTACCCACTGAGATACTGCAACTAAAAGTTGTCATGCCAAATGGAACTCTGTTAACTATAATATTCTACCAGTTATGTTTGACTAGACAGCATGAAAAGGAAATCAATGACAAAACTGATGTAAGGAATGTGCACTGTTTTAATGAAAAAGACAAAACAAGCAGCTGAATGCCCACCTGCTTCCTGCAACGTTTCACACTGCCTCCCTCAATCCAGGTAACCTCATGGCTGCACTTTCTCCATGTGACACTAGGTTTCATTCACTTGCATGTCATGTGACCTGGTCCTACTGTCCCAGAGGTGTGTTTATTAGGTCAGTGTAGAGGATCTGTGGAGGACATCTTAAAAGAATCTCAGGAGAACGCTACATGAACTGGGGTCGATTCTCTTAGTTCTCTTACTTAACCACCAGGGGGAGCCTCCTCTGAAGGAACCATCCATGTATGATCGGTTGCTGGGCAGATTGGCGTCTGGTATTAATTCATCACAACAGCAGGGCTAAGGTTACATCCCCTTCTATTACAGTATTGTTGTACAATGTACAATGACAATAAAGTTAATCTATTCTGTTCTATTTTACCGTGTTTTTCTTTGGCGTTCTAGAAATATTTCATGCATAATCCGCAATTCTGCTGTTATTCACAAAACAAAAATTGCTACATTTTCGTGCAAATTCAAAATTGCGCATACAGAGATATTGCAGTTTACAGCGTAAACTTAAAAAGAACAAAAGCTTATATTTGAAGTAATCATTTAGACCAAGGATTAAGTCACTTGTCAGTGCCTCTCATTTATGTCAGTCCATAAATTCGCATGTACACTGAAGCGCAGTTAGACAATGTGAAAACGACAGCTGGTGTGTGGAACCCAGGCCTGGAAATGAAGGTTACTTGGCTGCAGTTTCAGTTGCAATGGCAGTTTCCTGGTGTTCTGTGAAAATGTGTCCTCACTGTCCTATATGGGATGTTCTCCGAATCCTAAAGGAAGATTCCTATTCCAAGCAGCACAGGACACAAACAGAATAACATGCTGGATGGAGGTCCAGTCCACCTCTAGACTTTTAACAACATTTAATTTTCTTTTTCTTTTCTCGTCAGTGACACTATTCTCCCACAAATCCTGGCTGAAGGATTAGTTAAGGATTTTGTGATGTTGTGCCTGCTTTTCTCAAACAATTAACACAATTAAATCTTATCTTGAAATGCAGACGGTACTGTGAGGAATTTGTGGGGCACAGTGTTTGTTTAAAAGAGCAAACAGGGTTTGTTGTCAATGAACACAGACCAGAGTAATCTATGTTCCGAGGTATTGACTGTGCGCTAAGCCTGTCCTTTACAGATGACAGATTCAGGTGGAACTCAGAGTCCTCGGCACCTCCCACAGCTTACCAGTGCCGTGTGGCCGTCAGCTTCACGCGGCTCGTTGGACCTGTGAGGGTGTGTGATGCAGTTTCAGGAGGATGTTGGGTAGTGAGCATCTCGTTCCAAAGCAGATCCAGACAGCCTGCTCCCTATTGCAGTGTTACATCTGTCTCCTCCTCATTCTTTCTTTCTCTGTTCACCCATCATTCCTCCTCTCCTTCCACCCCATTGCATGTCTTTCTCCTCTCTCATTCTCTCCTTTCTCCTCTCCTCTCTCCCTCAGGCTGGTGTATGATGTCTCCCTCTCCTCCCCCCCCCCCCCCCCCCCCCACTCCACTGAATGTGCCATGCTGACTCATCTGGGCCAGTACGTGGTGTCAGTGTATTACTGGGGATCTCCTGCTCGCAGAGCAGACGCAGGAGCTGATAGGCTGGGCGGCATCTTGCTGACACGCACGTAGCATCAGAAAAACACGGGGGCAGTGCCACACTCTTACATACACATACGTAGCCGGAGCAGAAGCACGAAGTACTGCAGCAGGTAAGAGATTTCCTTGCTGCTTCTGGAAGCTCTTTCAATTCTACAAACATATGACCGTAGATGGCATCTCTTTCATAGACATGTGGCTGTAGATGCTGCTCAGGGCTGTGGAGATTAAGGTGGTGACAGGGGGGGTGGGAGATTGTGGTCTAATATCCCTGCTGCATGTGGGCATTCTGCCCAATGCAGAGTCCTAAAGCTGGATTTATGTGTGGACACTGAACCAGGAGCCCACAGTAAAACACAATAATAACAAAAGAATACTTTGGTTCAGATGTTCCTTTATTTATGTGGGACCCAAATCAGTACTGTGTCTGTGCTGTAGGTGTTTGTTTATTCCTGTGGGATCCATGACTCTCTATGTGCTGTAGATGACTGTGTATTTCTGTGGGATCCATGACTTTCTCTATGCTACATGTCCATTTATTTCTGTGGGATCCCTGACTTTCTCTCTGCTACATGTCTGTTTATTTCTGTGGGATCCATGTCTTTCTCTCTGCTACACGTGTCTATTTATTTCTGTGGGATCCATGACTTTCTCCCTGCTGCATGTCTGTTTATTTCTGTGGGATCCATGACTTTCTCTGTGCTATACATCTATTTATTTCTGTGGGATCCGTAACTTTCTCTGTGCTATGTACATGCATGGTTATTTCTGTGGGATCCCTGACTTTCTCTGTGCTGCATGTCTATTTTACCCTGTGGAATTCACAATTTCTCTGTGCTGCATGTCTGTTTATTTCTGTGGGATCCGTGACTTTCTCTGTGCTGCATGTTTGTTTTTCTCTGTGGAATCCACAATTTCTCTGTGCTGTATTTCTGTTTATTTCTGTGGGATCCTTGACTTTCTCTGTGCTACACGTGTGTTTATTCCTCTGTGTTTGGTAACATAACGGTAATGGTGAATAATAACGATGGTATTTATTTGGCTAAGGACAAACATGACCTTCCTTCCTTTAACACCAATAGTTAGGCAAACGAGAACACAAGGACCTGTCTCTGTCCTTAACCCGACCTCTTGGTCTGATCGTTCCCGTGTCCCATCAGAAAGTTGCAGGCCGTATAGCTCAGGGCGACAACTGAAGTGGTTTGATGGAAACCCACATCCCCAGTAGCACCGGGTGACCATGACTTCATTCGCTCACGCAGCCTCTGAGTGTTCTTTAAAGGCCATGTCCGCTCCTGGACTCATCTTCACCTCGGCAGCTTCAGCCACATCCTCTCTCCAATTTCAGCTGGCAGTGATGTCCTTGTGTGAAGTGAAGCCTCACATTCACTAGAATTCTGAGCATGTCCAGGACCAGAAGTCAGCTGGCAAACAAATAGCCCTCACACCAAAGACTAGCAGCACTGGTGTAGGTTTGCATGTAGGCCTTTGTAGATGGGTTAGTAGGGTGAGATAATGAAGGTTAGAGTTAGTACACCTATAACTAGTTGACTTGGGCAGAGGAGTGACCCAGTCTTACTGAGAGGTACTATGTTTGGAAGACAAAATGAAGTGAAGAATATCAAATATCCAGATCTATGGCTCTGTCTCATCTGTCTTCCAGGAGAAAAATAAACACCTTAATAGAAAGAAATCAGCCTGTTATTTCAGATCTGTGAACATTTTGCTCTGTGACACGTGGCTGCAGAGTAACGTGTCACGCTCCGTGCTATTTTCCTCTTCGACTGAAATGTTAATTGATATTGATCTTCTTAATCCAGTCTGTTCACTGACCTCAGCTGCGCATCAGAGTTTGAGTATTTCCCTCGGGGAATGGAACTTCATTTTGCTGCCTGTCCTTCCACCATTTTGCCTTGTGTTTTATCCAGTACAAGGGGACACTGTCCTGTTCTTAAGCTTAATTTTAATATGTCATTATATTTGGTAACACTTTACATTAAGTGCACCTTCATAATGCATTCATAGAACATTCATAAGCAGCATGCAAGTACAGCTTAACATCCTAACATCCCTTAACTGCTTTAATATACATTAATAACAAAGATTACATGATTATACAATTAAAATGTTTGCTATTAATGTGTATTACAGCTGTTAAGGAATGTTAGGATGTTAAGGTATACATACATGATGTTTATTAATGGTTTATGAATATTTAATGAATGCATCATGAAGGTGTACTGACCATTTTATGAATGCAATATAAAAGCATTATGAAGGTGCAGTTAATGTAAAGCGTTACCTTATATTTATATGAGTTTGACCTGTTTTGTCCTCTGACTCTGCTAATTTATGTTGCTGATTCTAAGTCTGATTCTTCATTGGTATGAAAGTCCCAGGCTTTCACAAACATGCTTTGCATTGTGATGTTGATGGAAAGGATCTCTTTCACTCTCACCTACTGCTTTAGTGGTTCCAGGTCACTCTCCAGGGATGGCTCGGATGCTGGAGCACCAGTTCACCGAAGAGAAGCCTCTGCTGGCTGAACAGAGAGGAGGTCAGGAGACAGACATGGTAAGTCTGAGGTGTGAATGCGCATGTGTGGTAGTGAGTATCTGAGGGGGTGTTTGCAAGTTCAATCTGTGATATTTGTGTCTTTCTCAACAGGAAAACTGTGAGCCTTTCATCTCTGTGGGAGACTGGAAGGTACTGAAGAAAGATGGGACAATGGGCCAAAGGAGATGTTTAACAACATGCACATGCGTGTTTCTGCAGTAATGCTTTCTGTGGCCACATCTTTTAGGAGCACAAAATAGAGTCTCCCTTTGGGTGGCTGCATGTGGCGACCCAAGGGGAGCCCAAGGCAAACAAACCTGCCATCCTGACCTACCACGACGTGGGGCTGAATCGTAAGTACATACCCCAAAGCATGTGCATAGAAGAGGCTGCAGAACTGAAGTTGGCGAGCAGGGAGAAAAATTGGAAAAAAGTACAGGGCTGTTTTATTTGTCTGTGGAAAGTTCTCTGTGAGCCTGCAGGGCCACCTGTTTCTCCACAGACAAGCTGTGCTTCAACGCCTTGTTCAACTACAATGGCATGCAAGAGATCACGAAGAACTTCATGGTGTGCCATGTAGATGCCCCTGGACAGCAGAGTGGGGCCTCTCAGATGTCACTGGGGTATGTTCTTAGATATTGCATATTCTCATTCAGCCTATTGAATAGAAAGCCTGCTGTTGTGTATTGTGCTCTGGGATTGATTGAAAGTCCGTATCTGAGTATTCCGTTCTGTGACTGATTGAGAGGCCTGCGGTTATGTGTTGTATTCTGGGGTTATTTGAAAGGCCCGCAGGTGTGTGTCTTTCTGTTCCTGGATTTGTTCTGATTGATTGAGATGACTGCTTTTTGTTGGGGCTCATTGCTCTGGGTCTTTACTGGTTGTTCTCTGCAGGTACCAGTACCCCACTATGGATCAGCTTGCAGGCATGCTGCCCAGTGTGGTCCAGCACTTTGGGTAAGTCCAGGGGGTGGGGCTGGGGGAATGGGTAGGATCAAAAAGACCATTATGAATAAGGACGTCTGGCAATGGGGACAGAATGAGGTGAGAGACAGGCAGCTAATATTGAATGGTGTGGTGATGTCGTGTTTTGTTCCTCATTGCCATGATGCAAGAATCAAGAGGATTCTGGGTATTGGAGTCGGAGCAGGAGCCTACATCTTGGCCAGATTTTCGGTGAGATGAGGATTAAAAGCCATAGCAGAGAATATGATATGCCAATATCTCCAGCTCTCACCCTGCACTTCCACATCTTCTTTGCCTTAACATCCTTTCTCTCCAGCTCCTCTTCCCAGATCTGGTGGAGGGTCTGGTTTTAATAAACATCGATCCCAGTGGCAAAGGCTGGATTGACTGGGCTACTGGTAAGGTTAGTACTGTACAAAATACAATCGATGATCACATAGAAAACACATCATCTTGGAATCAGAAGATTCAGTCTGGCTGTGAAGTCACACATTTGTTTTTGATAAATCTGAAAGTGGGCAAAGACAGCCGGCTGTTTGACTTTGTGGATTACTGGGGATTTTGGGTGACATTCTGCCCTCTGTTCTCTTAGCTCACAGGGCTAACCAGCACTTTGCCAGAAACCATCCTGCCACATCTCTTCAGCCAGGTATGCTGCACAATCACCCACATGTGGGAATTAGAACCAGTAATTCTTTGAAAAAAATTGTATATACAGTGGTACCTCGGTTCTCGAACTTAATCCGTTCCGGACTCCGGATCGAATCCTAAAAAGTTTGAGTTCTGATCGAATTTTTCCCATAAAAAATAATGGAAAACCAATTAATTGGTTCCCGGCCCCCCAAATTACACCTAAATAAGTTTTTTTTAGCATTTAAACACAAAATGAACAGGATAAAACAAGAACATTTTTTTCTTAATGGCTTCCAAAACGATAAAGATCTTATCCCAACATTACCCCTGTCCTGCCCCGATCGTCCGCTCCTTCCGTGTGCCACGCCCCCTCGTTAACCTCGTGTGGGATCCCCATGTGATCAGCTGTTTCTGGTTGTTGTCATTAGTCCTCTGTATTAAGTCCGCGTTTCAGTTTGTTTCCCCAGTCCGGTCATTGGGTGCGTTCGACTTGCTTACAGCGCTGGCTTAAAGCAACGCATTCTGATCCTGACACAATGCATTACGGTTAGATGCATTGCGACTTCTCACCCGGCTGCACAAACTGGAACCGCCTCCGTGACAACACACCTTTGCCCTTATTGGCTGAAGAGTTTAGTTACACGCATGACGTTTATATCCCAGGCAGTTCCGAAGTGTAATCTGGTATTTCTCCTGAATATCACATAAAGCAGTGAGAACAGGTTTTCAGTTAATTTACCCGGTAAAATAAAGTTTAAATAAATGACATAAATGCTCTAATAGTACACGTAAGTTAGTGGTTTATTTATTGTTAGTTACTGTAATGTTGCGCTGCTTTATTTGGTTAATCGTCCAGTCTTTGAAGAAGGCATTCAAGTAAGAATTGCATTGTAGTGCGACTCATTTCCTGGCATGTACAATTTATATTAGGCCAGCGTTCACGGTTCGACTTCTCATATTCAGATGGAGTTCTAGGTCAAACTGGTTTTTTCCACTTTCAAGAAATTCAAGTTCTAGTGAGTTCGAGAACCAAGGTACCACTGTATTCCGCTAATGTTAAGCTAAATTCTAGTGCAATTCCAATTCTGTCCACAGGAGGAGCTGACAAACAACACAGAGCTGGTTCGAAGCTACAGACAGCAAATCAACAGTACGATTAACAAGTCTAACCTACAGCTCTTCTGGAACATGTACAACAGGTGAAACACACACATGCTCTCATTGTTATACACATTCAGTGTCACTCATACTTACACGGGCACAAACAGACATGGTGTGAAAGTGCACACGCTGACACTGATTCTCGTTTCAGCCGGCGGAGTCTGGACATGAACCGATCTGGGTCGGTGCTGAATTCAAAGACACTGCGGTGAGTGTGTGAGAGTCAGTGTCAGCTGGCTGGAGTGAGATTTTCAATTCCAGACAAATCCGCACACATATTTACATATATTCAGCACAGTGTTATGACCTTGTAAATAGTCAGTAGGGCCCCAATGCTTTTGATGTAGCTCATTTTAAGTTTATAAGGGAATAATATAGATTTCTTTTAAGATTTCTTGTATGAGTGTGTGAGCCTGGAAGCATGAGTGTCACACCAGATGCGTGAGAGTGCGTGAGTGTGCAGGCCTCCATGTCCGCACTGAATATTCACAGTCTTCCTTGGTGTCACAATAAAAGCTCCTCTCATTTCCTGTCCTGGACATCCTTATCACTACTGCTGTCTTTCTTCCATGTTTTTTTTTAGTTCCATGTGCTCCTCTTTGCTCACCCCCCATATTAAATCCTGTGTGCCTTGCAGCAGTCGGCCTTTTTTCATTTTTTACTTGCATCACTTCCTTTGCGTGCGATATAAGCACAATCCAGTGATCGATCCAGCCTCCAGAATTGCTTATCCAGTACAGATTTGTGGTGAGCCTGGATGGAATGGGATACCACTCTATGTTCTGGCAAAGGTCTGTCCTGTCTGAATGCTGCTGGCTGCTCTCTCAGCCTTTACATAATAGCATAGATAAAAACATGATATCCCCATAGTTGCTAAAGTCTTGGAGGTTGTTCTGGGTACTTTCTCCTTTGTCCAAAGAGATCATGTAGTGCCAATTTGTCTTCCGTCTGATCTGATGATTTCCGATAAGGTATTTCATCACGTTCAAGAGCCATTTTTGTGGGATAATTCTGGGTTCAGGTAGTTCTTACACATTCTATGCGTGTGTCCATGCATGCTGTCCTGCAGCTGCCCAGTTATGCTGGTGGTTGGTGACAATGCTCCTGCTGAAGAAGGAGTGGTGAGTCTGCTCTATGTCGAGGAACATCTATCAAGACCCCATCTCTCTCTGCCTTGTCTCTGTTTTTGCAGATTCCTCTTTTGAGCCATCAGTCTCTCTCCTAAAATGGATTTTTAACATTATATTATTATTAGATTTTTCTGTCTTGCTTCCTTGTGTGTTGTCTATTCACTAAGTCATCACCTTGGCCTTCTTTGACCCCCTGTTCTTTTATCAAGGTCGAATGCAACGCCAAACTGGACCCCAGCAATACCACTTTCCTCAAGGTGAGAGGTTTATCAGCACATAGATGGTGCTTTAAATTCTGTCATGAAGATCCCTGCAGTATAACATGGCACTCTATCGTGTGCCAGAACAAACCCCCGCTTTAATCTCATGCATTTTATCCTCAAGATGGCTGACTCCGGAGGGCTGCCCCAGATCACACAGGTCAGAGACATGACTCATTTTCCCACAATACCCCTTCATCCATTTACATGTGGGGGAGAAATTTTATTTCACAGGGTTTTTGTCTTGTTGGTTTCATTTGTTTATTTCTTTTTCAGCCTGGAAAACTGACTGAAGCTTTTAAGTACTTTCTCCAGGGTATGGGTTATGGTAAGTGCATCACTTAAATCAGGGGTGTCAAACTCAATCGCACAGAGGGCCAAAACTCAAAGAACACTTTAGGTCGCGGGCCGAACAGGATAATTTTAGTCTGTTCAATAAATGTTTAACGTTTTTTGCACATAAATATGAATTGAAAAAGTCAGGATACAATATTATTCCAAAATAAATAAACTTAAACTTAAAATAACTTAAAATATTTTCCTCTCCATAAAAGTATCTCCTGTCAAAATTATACAAATTCAAAATATGAATATTCAGCAAAAAAAACTGAAAATGATCATTTGAAAATAAAAATTGTGCTTTTAAGTGAAAGTTAAAATAATAATAAATCAAAACATTCCATTTTCTTTGCTCTTATGCCATTCTGTCAAAGCTGGATGCTTGGCATATTTTCTTGGCAACAAGTTAGTTTTTGTTTGGGGTAAGGTTCTCTCAGCCACATTAGCTCCACAAACAAGACACACAGGTTTACTGGCAATGTCAATAAACATATACTCAGCCTCCCACCAGTTTTGAAAGGCTCTGTTTTCAGATTCAGCTTTTCTCTTGGCCATTGTTAGGGGCTAGCTTTGACTTGAAATTATAGTTGTATACATCAACAGACGCTTGATCGATCTGACGTAATTGACGTAAAAGGTAGCCTATCATCCAGTAAGGCAAGTGTTGCGCTGAATTATGGGATTTGAAGTTTGTGTGTTATCAGCGTTTCATATCACTGGGCCATTAAAAACAAGATATATAAAATGATCTTGTGGGCCGGGTATAATTGTACGCCGGGCCGGATGTGGCACGCGGGCCTTGAGTTTGACACGTGACTTAAATTGTTTGATTGTAAACACATGTCAATGTGCTGATGTGGTGAACCTGCAGTGGAGACCATCCTGTGAATGGAAACCCGTCTAATCAAAATCACCTTGGCATGGAAATATTGTATGTATACACATGGATGCATTGCATGCGTATGCATATGTATTTACTGTACCTATGGGTATACAGGTGTATGTATAATCAGTACTTTGTGTATGTGTTGTGCATTTTGTTATGTATACATATTTAATACATGTTTGCTTAACACGTGTGAGCATGCATCTGTCCAACACCCCTGTTCTGCCTAGAACTTGCCCTGGTTCCCATGAAACAGTCTACTGGGCCCAGTCCAGTACAGTGCTGTGGACTCTCTGTCCTCCAGTTGCACAGTATACTGCACTGGAGGTGTCTTACTGTCACTTCTTGGTGTTACGGCGCGATGTGGCATCTTGCTGCTCTCCTGCTGAAAGGCCTTTGTTAGATCTTTTTAATTCTCATTTTTCCTTCTTGCTGCATCTGCCAGTTACGCATATAAGGGATCGAAGATTAAGTGGAGGTCCAGGTACTTCCTGTTTTTGTCTTTCTCTATATTTTGCCCTTTGATTCCTCCACTATTCCCTGTACCTTTCCCTGGATCTTTATCATGTTTTTTTCTACTTTCATGGAATCATACCTGAAGACATGACAGGAAAAAATGCTGTGGAGGTCACATGGTGTAGCCTATATGACCCTCTGCATGATGGGAATGAATGCCATTCAATTCCATGACGACCCACAGCTAAAGGCGCTGTCCTGTCAGATCATTAAGGTCTAAGGCTGGAGACACATGGAAAGTAAACGTACAGAGGAATGAGTGGCATAGCTGGTCCTAAGCAGAGCAGTGAGTGGACAGAGAAAAAGCTCTAACAGTGAGGGGGTCACTGTCCCCATGCTCTCTCACCAGCCCATCCTGCCTGCCCCTTCCTGCCTGCTTCTGAGTGGTAGACAGTGTGTCACATGCCTGCTCATTACAGCGAATCACATGCCAGTCCATTACAGCTTATTGCATGTCTGCCTATTTATCCAAAACACAAGTCAGGATTCTTGGCATGATACTTGAGATTGTTCTATGTGTTTCTCTTGAAGCCAGCAGATCATGTGAGATGTAGCAGCATGATTATTCATACTCCATATGAGAAGGGATAGAAGAAATAATTTAGACACTTTGAATAGTAACAGAAAATTAGTCTATGGCAGCTAATTAAAGGCTGTATTACCAGAGTTATACTGGATGCCTTAAAAATTTAACCCTGTATATCACTACAAGTCAAATATTTATTTAATGAGGTAATAATTCTTTCTATCAGTCTGTCTCTTCCTTTCTCTCTCACACTCTTTTTCATTCTCTCTTTCTCATTCTCTGTCCTACCCTCTGTCCACAGTACCCTCTGCCAGCATGACCCGTCTGGCCCGGTCTCGCACTGCCTCTCTGACTAGTGCCGGTTCCGTGGATGGTTCTGGCCCATGAGCGATCCTGCAACAGGATGGGGGCAAGGTGCTCTGTGGACGTCCCCATGATGGACTCTTTTGCTCAGCCCGTCTCTACCTTCTCTGCATTACATACCACCTATTCTCCAATGAGGGAGAAAAGCAGAATTCTCTCTCTCTTTTAGATTCTGCCCAGTGCCTGACTCTGTCTCATGAGTACCCTCCATGTGCCACAATGTAAAAAGCATACTAATCATGTACCTAAGAAAAACCCAATTCTTCTTCTCTACCCAGAAAAAAACCTGCTCTAATCCATTGCCCAGGGAAACACCCACACTAATCCTGCAGCCAGGGAAACACCCACACTAATCCTGTAGCCAGGGAAACACCTGTACTAATCCTCTATCCAGGGAAAACCCCTCACTAATTCTGCAGCCAGGGAAACACCTGCTCTAGAGTGTGTTTCCCAAAAGCTCATGTTAGTAACATACACAGTTGCAGTTGCATCATTTCAACTATGTAAGCTGCCTATAGCCAGGGAAACACCCACGTTAATCCTCAACCCAGGGAAATTAATACTCTAATCTTGTACCCAGAGATACACCCGCACAAATCCTATACCTGAGAAATACCCACTTTAATCCTGGAGAAAGGGAAACACCTGCACTAATCCTCTATCCAGGAAAATACCGACTCTAATCATGTGCCCAATAAATACCTGCTCAAATCTTGCACCTGGGGAAATACCTGCTCTAATCCTGCACCCAGGAAACACCCACAATAATCCTGTACCCAGGAAACACCCACAATAACTCTGAACCTACATCTGTATCAGGAAAACCCCACAAACACACCTGTATATTAGGAAACCCTTTCCTTTAGTGATTCAAAAGATTCAAAGGTGGTTATAATGTATTACATTATTCTTATTGTTCTGATTATTTTGTCCTGGTGGTTCTATTAGCAAACACACCCTTGAATATGGCCACGACCACAATGACTCCAAGGTGACCTACTGCACTTCTTTAAACAGCTCTGTGGATGTAAATGTACCGCTGTCCCAATCCTCAAATAAAGGCCAGGCAGAGCGGACAGAGAAACCTGACGTGAAGCTGGCTATATTCTAACACAAACACTGAATACTGCTGTAACATACCCTGAAGGTCACATACCCCGAAATGTTTTTCAAATAATTCAGTGCCTTTCTCACGGATGATATAGTGAGACATGGCCTCAGCCTCAGGGTGAACAGGGACGCTGCTGCATACAGACTCCATCGTCCATCTCCTTATTCCTGTGCCCCCACATTTTCCTCTTCCGCAGAGAATGGTAACCTGAGACATCTACGGAAAGTGAAGACATTTGTTCTGACCAGAACATGTGAGCGGAGTGGAGCGGTGAGAATTTCCGCTCCTCGTTCACGAGGCTGTTGACTCCGCCCGCTCCTCCGCGCTTATTCGCACTAAGCCGCTCCGCTCAACACCGCTCCTCGCTCCACTAAAATTTCCTCCCGCTCCAGTCAAATCGCTCCACGCTCGCTCCAGTTTAAGAGGGACAAATAATCTGCATGCCTAACAAACGTCACCTTAAACCGAAGCCTTATATCATAAAGAAATATGAGGAACGGCAACATTGCCAGTCAGAACAGAAAATATTTATTTTTAAGCAACTTATAGGCAACAACGGACGGGTTTGGCAATGGCATTCCACACAAAAATAGGCTTAAAAATAAAGGAATCAGTGGGCTTAATAGCCTAAAGAATATACAGGCACATTTTAAATTCCTCAATTTTTTTCTGTTGATGCTACTGCTGCATCTCTATAAAATAAAATTTCACTGACAGCGTTACGTGAAATTAAGAAAAATCCTATTAGACCTACTTTGAATGACAAAACGAATTTGATTACCAATATTTACTTTATAGACTTTTATACTTTAAAATTACTTTATAGACTTGATATGCTACAACCATATAAAACTTGCTCGCGTTTTGCTCTGGCTTCCGCCTGTTCGCGTAGCACACTCATGTTTCTGAGAAAAGTGATTCCAAAGTGAATCTTTACTCACTGAAACATTGTTGTTCTTGCTGTACATTATTGTTATCTATACGTTTGATAAGAATAGTACACTTGTATGATTTATCAGTTTCCTTTGTGAAATACTTTGCGAATTCCATCTCGGCCAATTTGTGTAACAGTCTTGAAAATTGTACAGATGAATTCTGGGTAGATCTGGCCACGCCTCAGACTCTTAGTGTGAGCGGTATCGGAGCGAAACTGGAGCGAGACAGAGCGACCGCTCCAGTCTTAATTAAAAAACCGCTCCGCGCTCTGACCAAATTCCGCCCGCTCCGCTCACATGCTCTGGTTCTGACCTGCCATTGTAAATGAGATCAACACATTCCTCAGTCATATGGTGGTGGTGAACATGGTTATATGAAGAGTGGATGTTAATGCACATTACGGCTAGTGAGAAGACTGGCTGCTCCATATTGCACTATATTGATCACTGCTTCATACTGCTCCATACTGATTGCTGCTCCACACTGACTTCTACTACTTCTTACTCATCCATATACTGATTGCTTTTCCATACTGACTGCTGCTTCATACTTGTTCATACTGACCGCTGCTTCATGTTGTTCCATACTGACCACTGATATATACTGCTCTATACTTACCACTAATACATATACTGCTCTATACTGACTGCTGCTTCATGCTGCTCCATACTGATTGCTGCTTCATACTGCTCTATACTGACCACTAATACATACTGCTCCATACTGACCACTGCTTCATACTGACCACTGGTACATACTGACCGCAACTTCATATTGCTCCATACTGACCACTGAAACATACTACTCCATAATGAATGCTACTTCATGCTGCTCCATACTGACCACTGATACATACTTCTCCATACTGACTACTGATACATATACTGCTCCATACTGACTGCAGAATTGAGCATTCTCCATCCACGTCGTTAATTTTTATTTTTGTTAACAAAACTCGTTAAATTAATTATAGGCTTATATCGTATAACACATGGAGGAAATGTAAACCACTCATAATATACAATCGTTCTGTTAGCAAAATCACAATTTCAAGTATTACATTGCTCCTATGGAAACGTGCGGCTTCAGAAACTTAGGTAACTGGGTGTGGGACGGCTGATGAGCGAAGCTTCACCTCGGAAATCGGGTTACGCTTTCGAAGGACAGACCTGAAAGGCGATCACGCACGGCGGTCTGTTATTATGACATGCCAGTCCAATGCAAGTCGCTTGCATGAGGCGGTTTTTATGTTTCCAGGGAATGTAACATGTAATCTAGAATCCGTCTTCTTCAATCTGTTTTGGCAATTTTAAAAGCCTTTATGTCTGGTCTGTTTTTTTTAAAAAAAGTCTTACATCACAGAAGATGATGGACAAAACTGATTCTGAAGTTTGCAGCCTATCAGTAAGTGGCCGTATAGTTTGTAGATCACAGCTAGCTGCAGTGAACTCGCTCTTTGTGTATTTCACAAATAATTCACATGTGTAATATAGGGAACAAGATAGATAGATAGATAGATAGATAGATAGATAGATAGCAACGATAAAGCAATACACGTTAAATAATTATGAATCGTGGCTAGTTACACTATGACAGGTGGAATTTAAAGGAGAACGGGGTATACCGATAAAAAAAAAACTGCATCTTTAAAAAAAGGAAAAATAATTCAGACCGAGGACCGATTTCGCCGGCGCTAGAATATGTAGCCTATCGTATTGATCCGGAGTATTGGTAGGATCGATTCGCTGTTTTTTGACGTGCCAAACCAAGTACACCAGCAATACTGCTCTAAGTGATCATTATATTTCAAGGACATCTTGTCTAGCTTGGATAACTGTCACATTTGACGGGATACGTCTAATGATTTAAGGGGCTTAGATATAATTGGTTAGGATTAGGGTGGGTAACAGCAGACAGGAGCGAAGACTTCAAACTAGAGTTTAGATTCTCTGCCCGAGCCCGAGCCCCGACCCGACCCGACCCGACCCGTGGGCCGGGTCGGGCCGATATTTCCTGCCACTATCTTCGGGCCGGGCCGGGCGGGGCCATGATCAAGCATTTGTGTGTGGTTTTTTTTTTTAAATCATTACTTAATTAGCCTAATTGGGTGGAGAGCTATGCCATAATTATAAATGTAGCTCCCTCCCGTAAGACACGAGCACAAGAGTCCTTTGCATTTAACTGAGCCGACGGTTTATTCGAAAGACAGTGGCTTCGTTATTATCACCATCATGGCAGACGTGAGAACTAAATACAGATACGGAAACACAAAATCAAGCACATTTACTTACAATATTAGCTAACAAACATTGAAATTCAAATGAAATATAAACATAAATAACAATAAAGACAGCTTAGAGAATTCATATACAGTTAACACGAACCTCAGTTAGCATTTACATTTACATGGCTAAATACAACAAACTTAACTAAAACTTAATTAACACATACCTCGTTGGCTGCTTACGGAAGGATTTAACCTTTTTCTTAACCCTTTACTTAAAGTTCGATGCCGAGCACACAAACTGGTTCCAGCAGCAAGTGAACTGGATAAGTGAAAACGTGCTTTTCTTCTAAACGTGTCTCAAAAATCCATTCTGAATAAACAAACAATGCAGTTTACATGCTTCGTCCTTGTTGCATTTTTCATTAAGATAAATCTAAACTAATTTCTGTAGTTCAAACAACTTAGAATTGTAGTTGAGAACGTCTGTTACAACGGCTCACGTATTAAAAAATAGTCGGATTTAAATCGGGCTCGGGCTCATAAATACAGTTAATGTGTCGGACCGGGTCGGGCTCGGACACAAGGTGCACGGGCTCGGGTAGGGTCGGGTTTAATTTTTTGGGCCCGATCTAAGCTCTACTTCAAACTGTAGTAGTTTGGTGATAATGCACTCAAACAGGGCAATAATTGCAATGCTAGTTAGTATGCACACACATTGTATCCTGAATTTTCATACCCACATTAACCATCATCATTGTGCTTGAGATAAATACAATTGAGTACCTGTGTTTCCACTATATGGTGACCCAAGGTAGAAGGACAGTGATATCATCAGGACCGTGTTACAGTATGGTAGCTAAGTAGTCCCTGTGTGATGCATTTGGGTTTGTATATCCGTCAGCATATCTGAATGTGTAATTCAAGTATAACAGTCACAGTAAACCTGTAACTACCCCACTGGCAGGTGGTACATTCCTAGTGGCCACAGACTCTTCCACAGTGTGATATAGAAGGGGTGTGCAGGTATGAGAGCCCGTAGAAATCCGGGACAGACTGTGCAGATTACAATTGATTCCTCCCTGGACAGCTGAGAATATGGCCATGGGCAGTGGCATTCTGGATGGCCTGACAGTAATGATGAATAGCATTTTGCTGGGGCTGGCTTCCCCTGCACTGCCAGGCAGAAGGAGACATAGCAGCGCGAGGGAGTAGCGTGATGAAGCAGCACCAACTTGGGAAGAAAGTTGGTGTTGGCCATCATTTGGTCTGAACTTCACTACCTACATGATGAAGTTTCAACTGTGCTGGAGATAATCCACGTAAATACGAAGTCTTCCTCTCTATTCATATATAACTGCTTCCCTCTGCTCCCTCTCTGTTTAAATACAGTTGTGTCCCTCGTCCCTTTACTTCATCTCTTTTTATATACCACTACTTCCTTTTACTTTCTTTTCTCATAGGCCACTGCCTTCCTTTACTTTTTTCTGCTTATATCCCACTACTTCCCTTTACTTCCACTTTGTTTATGGACTACTACTTTCCTTTACTTACCTTTTTTTATATACCACTGCTTTATTTTCTCTATTTATGGACCTCCGCTTCTGTGTACTTCCTTTGTTTATATACCACTGCCACCCTTCCTCTCTGTTTATATACCACCACTTCCATTTACTTTCTTTCTGTTTATATACCACTGCTTCCCTTTACTTCCTTTGTTTATATACCATTGCCTCCCTTCCTCTTTGTTTATATCCAACTGCCTCTCTTTACTTCCTCACTGTAAATAGACCACTGCTTCCCTTTACTTCCACTCTGTGTATACCGCTGTCTCCCTTTATTTGCTCTCTGCTTATACAACATGGCTTCCTTTTATTTTCTCTCTATTTTTTGCTTTGTTTTTTTTTTTGCACCTGTATGTACAGTTCCGGTAAAGAGAATACTTACTTCAAGCTTGTTTCCAAAAACAAGGATAAATTACTGTACATTATAGAGAATATTTATGAGATACAGGCCTGTGGTACAAGAAATAAACTATGAGTAAATAATATGTTTTGAGTACTGCAGTTCCACATAAAACTGACAAAGTATCTTTCTGCTGCACCAGTACTACTTGAATGCCTTCAGAAGAATGCCTTTATTGTCATTGTTTTGGGGCGTTCAATGCCACATAGCCATCATGCTGCTTGCAAAGTGGTGAAGAGGGACTTTTGACTGATGGATGTTGGCGCTCATTGGAAATCACTGTCTTGTAGAAGATGCCATGGAGGTTACTCATGGTTGTGGTCACTCATCCAGAATTGAAAAGTTTGGGATGAGTTCTCCACAGCTGCTGAAAATGTGTTTTTTTTTTTGATCAGATACTGTAGATTTCAGTGTGTCATGTATATTCCGTTATTGAATGGTGGAGCCTCTTGAATTCTCCTAACCAGTAGCAGTCTCTCCCATTCTCCAAGCCTCTCCCAGTGATGGAACCTCATCCATTCTTTCATTCTATAATGATCTTCAGTCTCTGCCTTTCTTCAAGGCAGTAATGGAGCCTCTCTCATTCTTTCAGCCAATAACAGTCTCTCCTATGCTTCTTGCCAATGATGGAGCCTCTCTCATTCTCTTAGGCAATGAAAGTCTGCTTCCTCAGGCGGTGATGGACTTGCCAAGGTTTTCTAATGTACGATTTAAATTTTTATCAAGTATGCTTGTAACTGTCTTGCAGCAGAGAAATCTGGATGGGTATGTTGGTTTAGCCAACCTGCCAAGCCAAGTATACAGGAGCTCGGTGAGGAGGGGCTTCGACTTCACGCTAATGGTTGTGGGTAAGGCACAGCTCCATGCTCTCCTGCTGATTCAGTGTAATATTTAAGCTGATTGAACAGAGTGAGTGGGTGTGGTAGTTTGTTCTATAAATGTTTGGTTCTATTTCTGCTAAAATTTGTGTTTCCATTTTGATGGTTCTGGTGAATTCATTCATGCCCCAGAACCTCCAGGATTCTATGCACACATTAGTAATACTTTTTTTGTGGGAACTCCTACTTCACATCAACTTCTTGCACTCACAAAATTCAGCAATATATTAAACCGGATATTAAAATTAATGGTTTAGCACTGAGCAATTTGTTTTAAAAAAAAAGAGATTAACATTTTAAAAGGGGCCTCAAGGGTTTGAGAAGGATCATATTGTTTATCTCCATTTCATTTGTCCATCCAAGTTTCTGTAGCTGCTTTTCCTGTGCGGGGATGTGTGTGTGGGGGGGGGTGGGGCAAGCTACAGGCAACAGGGAACAACCCAGGACTCCAACCCATCACGGGGCACACTCACACACCATTCGGTCACACATGCACACCTATATAGGGACTGCTCGTATCAGCATGATAGAACAAGGGACCCCTGCTTACACAATGAAAGCCCTGTGATTTAGCCAGTTTTAAGTGTCACATTTCTGCTGGATTCCATAGGTAAGGCTGGACTGGGGAAATCTACACTCATCAACTCCTTGTTCCTGACTGAGCTGCCCCCCATGGACAACCAAGGAGCTTTTCAGCTTGTCCAGAAGACCATGCAGGTGAGACAGAGCCCTGTCCCAGGAGGATGACCACTTGGCTACTGGATCCTGCTCTAACACCATCCCTCACATTTCAGATAGAACAGTCCAAAGTTGTTGTGAATGAGGACAGTGTCCAGCTCACACTCACGATTGTGGACACTCCAGGGTTTGGAGACGCTGTTGACAACAGTGACTGGTCAGTTGCTGTAAGGGAAGGTTGGGGTGTAGGTGTGTATGTGTGTATGTGTGCGTTGACTGTTACTGTTGCATTTGAGATATATATTTGTAGTTTGTGACTTTTCTACAACAAAACAAAGGTCTTGGTGTTGATATTCCCTCTATACCTCCAGCTGGCAGCCTGTCATTAACTACATTGACAATAAGTTTGAGGACTTCCTGAATTCAGAGTCCAGGGTCAACCGTCGACGAATGCCTGACAGCCGAGTTCACTGCTGCCTCTACCTCATCTCCCCGTCAGGTCACGGGTGGGTGTTGGACATTGCAGGCTCTTTTACACACACACACACACACACACACACACACACACATATGCATGCACACCTTCAGAATCTGAAACTGTGTCAAAAAGAAACATGTATAATGTTATGCATATTGTTTGTGACTGTATGTCGATGTATGTAGTTCTTGTCAGTGTAGTGAGATTTGTATGTTATTCTGAGAAAGGTGCAGCAGACTCTCTATATAGTGTGGAAATGATAAAAATATCACAATCGCATCGTACCCAATGTCCTCCCTGCCCTCATCCAGACTGCAACCTCTGGATGTAGAGTTCATGAAACGCCTCCATGACAAGGTCACCATCATCCCTCTCATAGCCAAAGGTGATACATTTACTCCTGAGGAGTGTCAGCAGGTGAAAAAGCAGGTATGCTAGTATGTGTGCGAGAGTGTGTGTGAGAAGAGGTGGTTGGATAGGTGTGTATGTTAACTTCTTAAGCCCTCAAAGAAGGATGTTTCTCCTTATCAGATTATACAGGACATCCAAGCACACAAGATCAAGATATATGAGTTTCCTGACGCAGGGCAACATGAGGGCCGCAAGCTCAAGATCAAGGTAGAGGCTCAACACTGCCCTCTGCTGATGGGAGGGCATCACTGGAGGCAGGTGCTTGGTGTGCCTTCAGGTTGCAAAAACCAAAGAATTCCTAAGTACCTGTGCTAGTTCAGATGGCTAATAAAAGTTTCATAAGTAAATTTTGGTTTAGATCATACCAGTGGTACAGCAGCAAAGAGGAAGAACACCATAATAGAGGACTACAGCATAATATCACCAGTTTTCTGTCACCCATCTTCTTTTAATCTCACTGTTCATCTTATAGCCACCTTGTAACTCCTGAAGTTAATCACACCACACTCATACCTGACTGTAAGCAGTACTCAGTTAGCATTCGGAGGCCTTTTTGTGACTATTTTTCTGCTTTAACTACACAAAGAGTATTTTAGTACCATCCATTTTGAAGTAGTATGTCAAAATCTTTCTTTAATGCTATCTTTCATTTTTTCAATGGTGTCATGAAGGCTCATTTTAAAACTGGAACGGAACTGAGAATTTCAAACGCCAGTCATAGATTTTGGTTGGACATTCTTGTTACCATGGTTACCTTCCTGAAGGGACGTTTTGTGGCAGGAGAGTATGCCTCTGGCGGTGGTCTGCAGCAACATGGAGGTTGCGATCGATGGGAAGAAGGTCAGAGGTCGCCAGTACCCCTGGGGTGTGGCAGAAGGTGGGTAGCAAGGTTAGAGGGATGAGAGTTTGGGGATTTGGTTCAGTTCAAATGAAGTATTTTTTACAGCTTTTTACAGATCTGTGTTTGAGTTACAGTGCTTTTCTTTTTCCTTTCCCACACCTTTCCGTGATGCGCAGAGGGCATCCTTGGTAAACGAAACATCTCTTACTTTTCTGCTTCTTACATTATGTTCATATTTGAGGTCAGAGATGAGGTTCTTCCCGACACTTCAAAGCATTTTCCCCGCCCTCCTCAGATAATGGGACGGCACGGTGCCTCCCCCTTCGGATTGGGGGGTGGGTCCTGAGTCTCCTCCTGCAGTTCAAAGACACGCAGTGTTAACCTCTTTAAATTGCCCATAGTGCGTGCCTTGCTATGGGCTCAGATCCCATCCGAGGTTTACCCCAGCCTTGCTATAGGCTCAGATCCCATCTGGGGTTTACCCGGGTCTTTTTATGGGCTCAGATCCCATCCGGGGTTTACCCGGGTCTTGTTATGGGCTCAGATCCCATCCGGGTTTTACCCGGGCCTTGTTATGGGCTCAGATCCCTTCCGGGGTTTACCCGGGCCTTGTTATGGGCTCAGATCCCATCTGGGGTTTACCCGGGTCTTGTTATGGGCTCAGATCCCATCCGGGGTTTACCCGGGTCTTGTTATGGGCTCAGATCCCATCCGGGGTTTACCCGGGCCTTGTTATGGGCTCAGATCCCATCCGGGGTTTACCCCAGCCTTGTGCCTTTGGGGAGATGTGTCTGGCTGTGTGTACCAGGTGGGAATGTGTCTCTCATGTATCCAGCCTACGCACCTCTCCTCCTCTCCTTGTTTCAGTGGCCAATGGAGAACACTGTGCCTTCAGTGTCCTGCGTAAGATACTCATCAGGTCAGAGCACGACTTTTGTACCATTGTTGTTGCACTGTGGGGTGAGCTTAACAAATCAGACACTGGTACAACATGCACAGTACCGTGTGGCCTGCAGGCCATGTCTCCTGTTGACATGTAGTTTAGAAGGTTTAGCTCTCGGAAAAAACAGGTTGCTACCATAAAGAGGTAACTGTCCAAGTGGAAAGATGAGGTCATCATTTTGTAGAGAGTGTTGTCTTTTGAGTAAGATGATGCACAGAGTCCTGGCTTATAGTATAGGTGTGAAGTGTACTGTTTTGTTGTATTGTATTGTAATGTACCGTAGAGACACCAACTGCCGGAAACAAATTCCAAATTGACCAATAAACCTGATTCTGATATTAAAAGTGGTGAAGTTATAATTATCACCCCTTACTGAGCAGCAGTGCCAGTGTGGTGTCCATTTGGCCCAACACAGGACTCATATGCAGGACCTGAAGGGCATCACCAACAGCATCCACTATGAGAACTACCGTACCAAGAAGCTGGCAGCACTGACCTGTAATGGAGTGGGCGGGGCAAATGCCAAAGAAGAGCTCAACAAGTAGGCCCCTTGGGGCAGTGTTTCCCAATCTGGTCCTTGGGGACCCACAGCAGTCCCTAGCAAAAACATGGACTGACTGTGGGTCCCCAAGGACTGGATCATCATCTGTTGTTTTGATTGGTTAAGTTTTAAATACATATTAGAGTATTTAGATATAGCATGTCAGATAAATACGCACCATTAATGAAATTTCCCTCTCGATGATGGTTCTGACTCAGATGCCCTCTGGCTCACATGGAGGCGGAGAGGAATGAGCATGTGCTGAGATTGAAAAAGATGGAGTCTGAGATGCAGCAGGTCTTTGAGATGAAGGTTAGGGAGAAGAAGCAGAAGCTGAAGGACTCTGAGCTGGAGGTAAAAACTCATGTGTGATTACAAATGCAAGAGGACAGGTTAGACTGCGATGTGAAGTAATAAAAAGTGTAACAAAATGTAAAAAACAAGCATGTCTGGTCTCCAACAAGACAAATAGAATTTCACACTTTCACAAATTCTTCTTATGCTAGAAATGCAAAAGTTTAATCAGTTGTCATCTGTTTGCGATTTTTAATGGCTGGTGGTTATTGATTGTTAAATGTAGTCAAATTAAATGAAAAAGAAGTTCCCACAAATACAGTAATGTGAGAATGTGTGTGTGTGTGTGTGTGTATGTGTGTCTGTATGTGTCAGTTGGAACGGCATCATGCACAGATGAAGAAGAGCCTGGTGACTCAGTATCAGGAGCTGGAGGAAAAGAGACAACAGTTTGAGCAGGAAAAACAGGCCTGGCAGAGACTCCAGGCATACAGGTACATTGGGAGGGGGGGCAGATATTCACAAAACAGACATGGACACATAAGCTCATGCACAGTACTGTGCATACACATAGAAGCAGTACTACTTACACATGTACTCTTGAATAACAAAACTATTCACTAGTTTCCATTACATTTCATTCTAATCTCCCGTCTCTTTTTTTGTAGGTTAATGGAAAAGAACAAGAGGAGGGGAAAAGTATTTTGAAGCTACTTTATTTCAAAACAACCATGTCAAGTTAAGGTTGGGAGGAAATGCCATAGCTCAGACATAGAGAGGCCCCATAATTTAATTGTCATGGCTATAAGTGCCCCTTGTCATTGGGGATATGTGCAGTAGTCTTAATGCACAATTAATATTCTAATTAACATATATGTGTATGTTTTTGAGGGTACCCATTTTTCCATCTACTTACCTTATATAGCTGTAGTATAGTTCTTATGTTTATTCACCAATAAAAACACAAGCAATTGTAGCAGGGTGTCTCTGCAGGTTAGTAGTCTGACCTTGTCCAAAAAGTCACTGGTTCAAATACCACAGCTAACAAAGTAATCATAGCACCACTGGGCCCTTGAGAAAGGCAGCTAATCACACTAGGTGCTCTCACCTGTCTATGTGTATCTCATAGAAGAGCAAGATAGGATATATAAAAACTGAATTTTGCTGTGCATGCTACCTGCACAATGATAATAAAGGCACTCTAATTAAAATCGACTTGCTGTCCTGTTTAGTAGTTTATATTGTAAAGTTATATTTGAAAATGTTACACATTAGTCATATAATGTGCAATAATAATTTAATGTTAATGAATCTAGTTACTCTTTTTGTGGCTCAGTTTGTCGTAACCTGTAACCGAGAAACTATGCCCACTGCCCAATTTTACGTTTATTATACTGTATGTATTAAAGGACCCCTGTCAAGGTCTCGGCCCCCTGCATCTGCGAGAGTATCCATGCCCCTTTGACGTCCTGTTTGTAATGTATGACTGGTTGGGCTCTCTCTTGCACTCCCTGGGAGAAAAGCCTAGAGTCATCTACACTGACTGTTCCTCGATACTGTACACTCATACAGGTCCGAGACTTGATGTGGCCCTTTGAGATCATACTTATGTTACAGGCTGGCCAAACAATAACCACTACTAAGAAAAGAATATGAATTTTAACATAGAGAGAGACAGAAAGGGAGGCGCCGAAACACCTCCCAGACGGTTTTATGTTTTAAACGCTGACGGTTATAACAGAAAGAAGGACAACCTTCATTCTTACGTCACCACGTAGCCAGCGCGCTCACTCATTGGTCGTTCAGACACGCGGAAGACGCGCCAAATTCGAAGTTTGAAATCGGAAGCGTGAGAAAAGAGGCGTCGGCCCCGTAGTCCAGAGCGAATCTGGTGGGTCCTGAGAGATTTTCACAGCGGTTTGTACGGCTCCCGACGTCTGGTTTTGGCTTTTCGGATACCAGAATCTGGCCAGTTATAAGGTGCGGGTGAAATGGAGCCTTTTCTAGAGGTAAAGTAACATTTCTCTGAGTACTGGAGCGGCGTACCCCGATTTACAAAAAAATGATACATTACACTTTGCAAATTACCTTGAGCTGTTTTAAACTCAGCCTGCTCATTTTGAAATATTGCTGGTAAATGTTCTGCCTTAACGTTACCCATCGTATCTGTCTGTTAGGACTTTGCACTGGTTTCTGCTTTTCTGTAAATATCTAATTGGTTCATTTGTCAAACTAACGTTCATCAAAAGTTATTAAAGTTGATTAAATCCTCTCTGTTATGGGAAGAAATCTTGTAAATAGTCTGTAGAGTTTACAATCTAAACCTAATGCTTTTGATGCAGCTTTAGGTTTATAATGGAATAAAACGGATTTTCCCTCAGACTTCTTGCGTGAGATTCTGAAAGCCTGAGTGTTACGCCAGATGCATGAGAGTTGGCAACTTTGAACATAAGAACATAAGAACTATACAAACGAGAGGAGGCCATTCGGCCCATCGAGCTCGCTTGGGGAGAACTTAACTAATAGCTCAGAGTTGTTAAAATCT